CGTGTAACTGAGTCTTCACGCTGCTCAGAGGTGAAGCCCTTGGTCAGTTCTAACACTTTTTCTGCTACAAATACGTTGTGTAATCTCAGATAAATACGCATCCATATTAATTTGAGTGTGACCTTATGCACTGACAGTCATCAAATCTGAGTGGCTTTTATTTTTTTTTTTTAAATTCATTTTCAGTTCTGAGAGAGAGAGGAAGAGAGACGGAGAGGGATAGAAACACTGATGAGAGTATCATTGATCGGCTGCCTCCTGCACTGGGATGGAGCCCACAACCTGAGCATGTTCCCTGACTGAGAATTAAACTAGAGACCTTGTGGTTCCTATGTCGATGCTCAGCCACTGAGCCCCACAATGGGGATCTGAGTGGCTTTTAACTCACACGTTTGTCCCCCTCTGGCAGCACCCCAGGAAGCGCAGGTTTACTCAGAGCCCACGCTGCTTCAATGCTCTGACTGAGGGCTGGGCATGCCCAGGGGGTGAGAGCCTCTGACAGGGAGGCTGTGAGGAGCCGCGGAAAAGATGCAGATGGGAATGATGAAGCATGTCTCCCGGAACACACACGCGTGTTGACTTGTGTGGGAGGCACTGTCAGGACAAGGCATGTTCTACTCCCACAGGAACACATAGCTGATGGACAGCTCCCACAGCCACCAATGATACAGATTCAGGGTCTCTGGGTGGGACCAGACCCGAGTGTTTCTTGCTCAGAGACTCCCAAACCTTCCAACGTGCTGACACATTTCTAAAATTCCAAAAGGGCCATAAACACAGAAGTATTGTGAAGCCCATGGATGGCCCCACGTTCGAGATACTGTAACAGCCCTGGCCGGCTTGGCTCAGGGATAGAGGGTTGGCTTGCAGGGGCTTCAGTAGAAGTAAACGGTTATGCCAGGCCGGAGTTCAATGCTGGGGGTCTTAATACAGCATCTAGAAGGTTCAGGAACCTGGAGAAGTGCTTTCTTCCAACTGAACATGGATCTGGCTATGCATGGAAATAAAGAATGAGGGCTCCTGAGATAACTTTCATTTGACTTTATATTTTTTCAACCTTTGCTTCTAAAAAAAAAAAAATACATCTTTATAGATTTCGGAGAGTAAGGGAGAGGCAGAAAGAGATAGGAACATCAATGATGAGAGGGAATCGTGGATTAACTGTCTCCTGCACACACCCCACTGGGGATAGTGCCTGCAACCTAGGCATGTGCCCTGACCAGGAATTGAATTATGACCTCCTGGTTCATAGGTCAATGCTTAGCCAAATCAAGAGTCCAGAGATGAAACATAATTTTGGAAGGCATTTGGGGGGGCCAGAGAAGCATGGCTAAAGAAACCAAGTTCTCCCTTCTCTCTGGATCCCTTGCTTTTTATTAACACAAATTATCCTCAGGCCAGGGTTTAGTATACAGCATTGTCAGATTGGAGAAAAACCACATTTGGCTGTTCATGTGTTTGGCCAGAAGGAGGCAATAACATTTAGATTGAAATGCCCTGAGCTGTCTGGCAGCAAGCAATCATTTATGCATTCTTTTCAGGTTTGGAGAAGTGCTCTCAGCCATTTCCAGATGATTCAGCCTGCTGATATACTGGAATTGGCTTCTGGCAGGAGTTGCTCAGTGGTTAAGCATTGACCTATGAACCAGGACGTCATAATTCAATTCCTGGTCAGGACACATGCCTAGGTTGCAGGCACTATCCCCAGTGGGGTGTGTGCAGGAGACAGTTAATCCACGATTCCCTCTCATCATTGATGTTCCTATCTCTTTCTGCCTCTCCCTTACTCTCCGAAATCTATAAAGATGTATTTTTTTTTTTTTAGAAGCAAAGGTTGAAAAAATATAAAGTCAAATGAAAGTTATCTCAGGAGCCCTCATTCTTTATTTCCATGCATAGCCAGATCCATGTTCAGTTGGAAGAAAGAAGTGATGGCATCCAGGTCTCCCCCACAGACACTGCACAGGGAGCTTCAGACACTGCACAGAAAGCCCACAGACACTGCACAGGGAGCCCGCAGACACTGCACAAGGAGCCACAGACACTGCACAGGGAGCCACAAACACTGCACAGGGAGCCGCAGACACTGCAAAGGGAGCCACAGACACTGCACAGGGAGCCACAGACACTGCACAGAAAGCCCACAGACACTGCACAGAAAGCCCACAGACACTGCAAAGGGAGCCACAGACACTGCACAGGGAGCCACAGACACTGCACAGGGAGCCACAAACACTGCATAGGGAGCCACAGACACTGCACAAGGAGCCACAGACACTGCACAGGGAGCCACAGACACTGCACAGGAGGCCACAGACACTGCACAGGGAGCCACAGACACTGCACAGGAGGCCACAGACACTGCACAGGAGGCCACAGACACTGCACAGAAAGCCCACAGACACTGCACAGAAAGCCCACAGACACTGCACAGAAAGCCCACAGACACTGCACAGAAAGCCCACAGACACTGCACAGGGAGCCACAGACACTGCACAGAGAGCCACAGACACTGCACAGAAAGCCCACAGACACTGCACAGGGAGCCACAGACACTGCACAGAAAGCCCACAGACACTACACAAGGAGCTGCAGACACTGCACAGGGAGCCGCAGACACTGCACAGGGAGCCACAGACACTGCAAAGGGAGCCACAGACACTGCACAGGGAGCCACAGACACTGCACAGAAAGCCCACAGACACTGCAAGAAAGCCCACAGACATTGCACAGAAAGCCCACAGACACTGCTCAGAAAGCCCACAGACACTGCATAGAAAGCCCACATACACTGCACAGGGAGCCACAGACACTGCTCAGAAAGCCCTCAGACATTGCTCAGAAAGCCCTCAGACACTGCACAGTGAGCCACAGACACTGCACAGGGAGCCACAGACACTGCAAAGGGAGCCACAGACACTGCACAGGGAGCCGAAGACACTGCACAGGGAGCCGCAGACACTGCACAGGGAGCCGCAGACACTGCCCAGAAAGCCCACAGACCCTGCACAGGGACCCCACAGACACTGCACAGGGAGCCTCAGGCACTGCACAGGGAGCTGCAGACACTGCACAGTGATCCAGGGGCCATGGTTCGGTTCGCCCCCTGGTCAGGGCACCCGGGTTGTGGGCACATCCCCGTGAGGGGCGCGCAGGAGGCAGCTGGTCCGCACCTCTCTCATCACCGATGCTTCTCTCCCTCTGCTTCCTCTCTGAAACCAATAGACAGACATACATTAAAAAATAAATTAGAAGGGATTGTCCAACAGGTCCCTTAGGTCCAGCCATGAAAACCAAGCAAACCATGGGTGGTTCTTCTTGGATAAAAAGGGAGTTGCTGGCACACCAGCATCAGACGGTCTCTGCGGGTGGAGAGAGGTCTGCAGACGCCCAGGGAGAGCAGGGCCTTTGTGCAGAGGTGAGCCCAGACCAGAAGCAAAGAGGAAGGCATGGGCAGGAGGCTTAGCAGGCCACTCTTCTTTGCAGATGTGATTTATGGAAGCTGTGTTGCCATGGACACCTTCCCTCAGAGGGCTCGGACCTCCAATGTGGCCATCCTCCTTTCACTGGCCATCTCTGACCCAAGGCCAGTCAAAGGTCATGGGTTCCTGCTTGGGGGCTGAGGTGCAGGCTTAGAGCTCTGTGGCCAGGAGCCTGGGAAGCCACGTCTGCCTTTGGAGACATTTCCACTCCAAAGTTCTCCCAGCAAAGCGGGAGGCCGAGCATCCTGGCAGCTCAGCTGAGTGTTTGCTCTGCTCTGGGAGTTCGCCTTCCCAGCCAGCAGGTGTGTGAAGACAGCGGACACTGCCACGCTTCCAATAAGAACTTGTAAAGGGTCATGTATCGGGTGCCACGAAGGGGGATGCCGAAGAGTGAGGGGAGAGCCACATCTCCCCGCACTCCACCAAGAAACCTCACTCCCGCTGGGTTTTAAAGTCGGGGGTTGTGAACTCTGAGCTTACTGTGACTTCATTCTTTAAACCACCCCTTTTTCACTCGTCTTGTTCACCCAGAAATTGCTCTTAGAACCCCGTTGTGTTTGTGCTGAGAGCGCCACCCTTCAGTGTTTCGGAGGGAGCCCAGGCTTTGCGGCCGCTGTCAGTGTCACTGCACACAGACGTGGTGGGAACACAGGGACTCACTCTGAATAGAAAATGTTCCAGGAAAATGTGACGTACTCTGCTTAAAACCACAAAGCAAGAAAAAGCTACCACTCTATAGACAAAGATTATGAAAATTAGATATTTTATTTATCGTTTAATCGCAAGAATAATATTGTCCCCCCTACAAGAGGCAAATACATACTAGAATAAACTCTGTAGAATATACAAAAAATACACAGTTTTCCATGAAAACTCCTCTTTATAATAAATAGAAGGGAATGCGTGTGTGGTGATCCATCGGAGGAGGTGCGGCCCAGGCCTCAGCCTGCGCTTTACGTTTAATCTCTTGACAGAGCGGGAGCTCCCTCTCGCCTCAAAGGCCGACGAACAATGCACCGAACGAGGCCCCTTCCCCTTCCTCCGCGTCCTTTCCTCTCGGTGCGAGTTCACCCAGATTTCCACGCTCGCATTCAGGGGCACAAAGCCTACAAATTAAACAGTGACTTCTAACCTGGCCCCCGGCGCCACGCCGCCTTTCCAGCAAACCATCAGGGGCAGATGGCGACGCGGGAAGCCGAGGGGAAGGGGAGACAATGGCGCTGCGACGATCTGCCGGTAACGAAGTGCACGTCAGGGCCGATGGGTCTGACAGCGCAGCTCCCGCAGCCCGCGGGGCGCAGGTGCCATCCCGGCGCAGCCCCGCGCCCGGGGCGGAGGGAGCAGCCGCCCAGCCGCCGCCTCCCCGCACCCACGCGGGCTGCGTCTCCGCTCCGCCTGGATGAAGGAAGGCCTCGCTGCGGGACCCGCAGACCGCGACCCGCCGGGCGGGCGTGCAGGGGGTTCGGGCCGAGCGGGGCGGAGGGGGCCTGCGCGCCGGGAGCGAGGCTGGCGCGCGGCCTAGGCGCACCCCCCGACCGCGGGGCGGCGAGGCGGCCAGCCATCCGGGGCCGCGCCGGCGGGGCTGGCGGGGGAGCGGGCGCAGCGGGCCGGGGAGGCGGCCGCGGGCGGCGCGGGGCTGTCGGTGCCGCTCCCCGTGGACGCGGGCGACGGGCTGTGCCCCGCGCTGCCGGGGGCGCCGGCCGGGCCGGGCGGGGGGCGCGGCGGGCCGGGCAGGCGCAGCGCGGCGGCGAGCGCCCAGATGTAGTTGTGCGCGAAGCGCAGCGTCTGGACCTTGGTGAGCCGCGCGTCCTCGGGCAGCGTGGGCAGCGCCGCGCGCAGCGCGTCCAGCGCCGCGTTCAGGCGGTGCATGCGGCGGCGCTCGCGGCCGTTGGCCTTCAGCCGCCGCGTCCTCCGCAGGCGCTGCGCTGTCTCGGCGGCCCGGGCGCCGCGGGGAGCGGCCCGCGCCCGGGAGGGGCGCCGCCGGCCCTCGTGCCCCGGGCCCGGCAGCCGCGGCCCCGGTGCGGCCCCCGGCGCGCCCGGCTCCCCGCGGTCCTCGTCCGCGCCGGTCCGAGGCGGGGTCCGCGCCGCCGCCGTGGACGCCACGCGGGGCAGCGCCAGCGCGCCCGCCGCCTCCTGCGCCTCCGCCGCCTCGGTCTGGGCGCACATCCTGCCGGAGGGGCCGGACGGCCGGTCACGCAGACGCCTGGGCACGTGCGTGGGGTCTCGGGGACGCGCGCCCGAGAACAGCTCCGCGGAGAGGACCCCGCGCCCTCGGAGCACCCGGGTCCGCGCGGGGAGAGGCCGGTCCGCCAGGGAGAGGCCGGGTCAGCGCGGGGAGAGGCAGGTCTGTCCGGGGAGAGACCGGTCCGCCCGGGGAGAGGCAGAGGAGTCCGCCCGCGGAGGGCAGCCCGTCCCGGAGCTCGGCGGGCCGTGGCGTGCGGTGCGGCGGAGGCCGCGTGGCTCTGCCTGTCCGTCTGCCACTCGCCCTGCCAGCACGCGACCCCGGGCGCCCCGGTGAACGCAGAGCGGCTCGGGGCTCGGTGGCTGCGTGTCTGGCACACGCCTCCCCTTAAAGCCCTTATGTACCCCGGGACAATCGTACCCCCCTTCTCCTTTCACTGCTTCAGCCCTGTCTCCGCGTCCCCCATCCTCCCCTCTATTCCCCCCCCCCCCGCGCTCCCATCCCCTCCCCACGCCCCCATCCTCCCCCCCATCTCCCCCTACCCCCTCCCCGCGCCCCCGTCCTCCCCCCGCCCCCTCCCCGCGCCCCGGTCCTCCCCCCCATCCCCTCCCCGCGCCCCCGTCCTCCCCCCCATCCCCTCCCCGCGCCCCGTCTAATCAGCATAAAATGGCTCCAAGCTCTGGCTGCGCCTGGCCGAGCGGAGACCCGGGCGCAGGTTGCACCCTGATTGGCGCTCGCGCTTCGGAGCGTGCCGCGGCAGCCGCCGCCGGGGAGGGGGGCGTGGGCAGAGCCTCCTGGGTCTGTTTTAAGCAGCACCGGGTTCCGGGGGCGCGGGCCTGGGAGGGGGGGCTGTGGGGCGGAGGGGGCCGTGGGGACGGGGGGGGGGGCTGTGGGGCGAAGGGGGGGACTGTGGAGCGGGGGGGCGTGGGGACGGGGGGCTGTGGGGCGGGCTGTGGGGCGGGGGAGGGCTGTGGGGCGGGAGGGGGTCGTGGGGACGAGGGGGGCTGTGGGGCGGGGGGGGGCTGTAGGGCCGGGGGGGGGGCTGTGGGGCCGGGGGGGGCGTGGGGACGGGGGGCTCCGGTCAGACACGACCCTTCCCGGCGCCCTCCGCCGCGGCCGCCCGGGTCTCGGCTGCTGCGGGCGGGGCGGGGGGACGGGAGGGGGGCCAAGGGCGCGGTCCTGGGAACGGGTCCCCATTGCTAGGCCGCTCCTTGCCGCCCGGGGCGGAGCGCGGGGAGGTGGCGTGGCGGCTCAGTCCCTTTGGACCCGGGCTCCGGGGAGAGGGGAGCGGCGGGATGAAGGGAGCGGGGACGAGGTGAAGGTGAGAACCACTGGAAGCAGCTCTGCAGCCGCCTCCTTCCTGCTCTTTTCCAAACTGTCTCACTGGCCTCAGAGAGGAAGGCGAGGGGGAGCCATCCAGATGGGAGAGCAGCATGGCCCGCGCCCCCTGCGCCCGCACCTGGGCCCGACCCGCATTGAACCCTGACCTCCTGGGTCTTAGGTCTCCGCTCAGCCTCTGAGCCCCACAGGCCCCGCCCCTGGTTCTCAAAACTCTGTGAGAACTGCCAGGGCCTCCACTCACTCCTCCAACATTAAAACAAACCCACCCCATCGCTCTCAGCTGGTTACCCCTACTCTTCACAGCTGGTAAAACCCCACCTCTCACAGCTGGTAACCCCCATCCTCTCACACAGCTAGTTATCCCCATCCTTACACAGCTCATTAGCCCCCATCCTCTCACAGCAGATTACCGCCCATCCTCTCTCACAGCTGGTTATCCCCATCCTCTCACACAGCTGGTCACCCCCATCCTCTCTCACAGCTAGTTACCCTCAAACTCAGATGGTTTCCCCCATCATCTCTCACAGCTGCTTACCCCCTATCCTCTCACAGCTGGTTACCCCCATCTTCTCACAACAGGTTACCAGCATCCTCTCAGCTGGTTATACCCCACCCTTCACAGATGGTTACCCCCCCATCATCTCACAGCTGGTTACCCCCATCCTCTCACACAGCCAGTTACCCCCATCATCTCACAGCTGGTCACCCCCATCCTCTCTCACAGCTAGTTACCCTCAAACTCACAGATGGTTTCCCCCATCATCTCTCACAGCTGCTTACCCCCTATCCTCTCACAGCTGGTTACCCCCATCTTCTCACAACAGGTTACCAGCATCCTCTCAGCTGGTTATACCCCACCCTTCACAGATGGTTACCCCCCCATCGTCTCACAGCTGGTTACCCCCATCCTCTCACACAGCCAGTTACCCCCATCATCTCACAGCTGGTTACCCCCATCTTCTCACAGCTGGTTACCCCCATGCTCTATCACAGCTGGTTACCCAAATCCTCTCACAGTTAACTCCATCCTCTTACAGTGGGTTACCCCCATCCTCTCACAGCTGGTTAACCCCCAACCTCTCACAGCTAGTTACCCCCATTCTCTCACAGCTGGTTATACCCCACCTCTCACAGCTGCTTACCCCCTATCCTCTCACACCTGGTTACCCCCATCCTCTCACAGCAGGTTACCAGCATCCTCTCACAGCTGGTTACACCCCACCCTTCACAGCTTGTTATCCCTCACCCTTCACAGCTGGTTACTCCCATCCTCTCACAGTTGGTTACCCATCCTCTCACACTGCTACTTACCGCCAACCTCTCACAGCTGGTTACGCCCCATCGCTCACAGCTGGTTACCCCCAACCTCTCACAGCTGCTTACCCCATCCTCTCACAGCTAGTTACCCCCATCCTCTCATAGCTGGTTACCCCCATCCCCTCATAGCTGGTTAAGCCCATCCTCTCACACAGCTAGTTACTCCCATCCTTTCTCAGCTGTATAAACCCCACCTCTCACAGCTGGTTACCTCCATCCTCTCACAGCTGGTTACCCCCATCCTCACACAGCTGGTTACCCCCATCCTCACAGCTGGTTGCCCCCATCCTCTCACACAGCTGGTTACCCCCATCCTCACACAGCTGGTTACCCCCATCCTCACACAGCTGGTTACCCCATCCTCTCACAGCTGGTTACCCCCATCCTCTCACAGCTGGTTACCCCCATCCTCACACAGCTGGTTACCCCCATCCTCTCACACAGCTGGTTACTCCCATCTTCTCACACAGCTGGTTTCTCCCATCTTCTCACACAGCTGGTTACCCCCATAATCTCACACAGCTGGTTACCTCCATAATCTCACACAGCTGATTACCCCCATCCTCTCACACAGCTGGTTACCCCCATCCTCTCACAGCTGGTTGCCCCCATCCTCTCACACAGCTGGTTACTCCCATCCTCTCACAGCTGGTTACCTCCATCCTCTCACACAGCTGGTTGCCCCCATCCTCACAGCTGGTTGCCCCCATCCTCACAGTGCTGTATCCGAGGTCAGCAGTGTAGCATCTACAGAGGAGGGGGACACGCCAAGTGCCCCCCTCTCATTCCCGGTTTGTCCGCATGGTGTACATGAGTTAGAATTTCACAAAAGCTTTGGATCCAGTGTGAGAGCAGACAGGGTGAGACACCAGGAGTTCCACTGGGTGACCAGCACACGTCAGCACTGCCTTTACCGGGTGACTCCTCCGGCAGCACCTCCAAAGCCCTCCAGGGTCTGGGCTCCCAGGCACACATGGAAGGAGTCCCGGGAATGGCACAGACTTGGTGCTGGGAGCCAGCACCCAGCTCCCCGCGCAGCAGAGCCCGATGCAGGCGGGTCCACCGCAGGCGGGGACACCGCACAAGGGCACCCTGGCTTGGCTGTTACCGCATTGGGGCTCACCACCCCGGGCTCCCTCTTCTCCCAGACCGTGTAAAAAGTCAATAAAAATATATATTTTCTTTAAAAGTACATTAAAGAACGCGGTGAAGACGGGCGGCCGCACTTCCTTGTGCAAACTGAGGTGGCAATTGGTCCTGAACATTCGGGTCCCTTTGTGTGGCCTGGAGGTGTGTGCGGGCCCTCGGAGGTCCGTGGTGCACAGGGAAGCGTGTCCGGCATGAGCGGTGAAGTATTGTCTGGGTACATCGCACGTTTCTGATTCCAGAGAGTTCCTTCAAATGGAGCAAATGTGCCAAGAAACGTGCAGTTTCACACCTGCCGGGGTCACTGTGAGCGTGGAGATTCGGCGGGCTTGTGGCATCCATGAGGCTGCGGCCGCTGCGGAGACTCAGGAGGGCTCTGCGCTGCAGCCGGGGGAGCAGCGCCTCTGATGCCAGACACTTGGGGAAACTTCCTCTGAGCAGAGGTCAGCTGCAGGGGATCGCCCCCAGCAGGCTAGAGGCGGTCTGGCTGGAGGAAAGCCACGGGCGTGCCCCCCGCACACACCTGAAGTGGACTCAAGAGGCGCTTGTGTGGTCCCTGCCGAAGGGGCTGAGCCGGGCAGTGGCCTGTCCCAGGGGTTACACTGCGTCCCCAGCCCCCGGCACGGCGCTCCCCTTAAAGGGAACAAAGGCTCCAGCGGGCAGTGGTCGGACTCCATCATCCAGCTGCACCTGAGAAGGGGCTCGAGTGTCATCAGATGTCAGGTGTGGCCAGGGACTCCCAGGGGGGCCCTCAGGCTGCCTCCTGTGATGCCACAGAAGCACCCTCCCCTCCACATCAGTCTCCAACCTGTCCTGTCCAGACTGCTTGGGAAAAAGTCCTGGAGATGCAGGTGCCCCAGCCGGCTAAGAACAGACTCAAAATTAAGAAGTACATCGGGAGGGGATTGGGCAGCAGCACTCGGGACCCAGGATACACAAGTCCGCTGGACGCCAGCTCGTGGGAGCGGCTGTGCAGCCACCCATCTGCTTGGGCGAGGCTGCCAGAGCCGTGTCTGTCCCAGCAGACACACGGTTGGGACAAGGAGGAGGTTATGAGACAAGTCTTGTTTGTCGGGTTTAAGTTGTCCCCAAACATTATAAAGGGTGACTGGTCATTTTTATTTCAAAGTAATCCAAGTAGCAATTTTCTGCATCTTTACAATGAACACTGAGCCCCAACATTGGCTCAGTGGTTAGTGCTGGCATGCAGACTGAAGGGTCACAGGCTGTGTCCCCGGCCCTGGTCGGGTGTATGCAGCAACCAATTGATCTATCTCTCTCACATCCATGTTTCTCTCATCTCTCCTCCTCCCTTCCACTCTCCTTAAAAACCAATGGAAAACATATTCTTAGGTGAAGATTAACAGAAAATAAATAAATAATAGCTCTAGCCAGTTTGGCTCCAGGAATGGGTTCGATTCCAGTCAATGGCACGTATCTCAGTTGGGCTCTATCCCTGGTCCTGGTCGGGGTGCATGCAGGAGGCAACCAACCGATGTGTTCTCTCTTACATTGTTTCTCTCACTCCGCCTCCCTTCCCCTTTCTCTAAAAAATCAATGGAGAGCCGGCACCGGTTTGGCTCAGTGGTAGAGCATCGGTCTGTGGACTGAAAGGTCCCGGGTTCGATTCCGGTCAAGGGCATGTACCTTGGTTGCGGGCACATCCCCAGTAGGGGGTGTGCAAGAGGCAGCTGGTCGATGATTCTCTCTCATCGACGTTTCTAGCTCTCTATCCCTCTCTCTTCCTCTCTGTGAAAAATCAATAAAAATATATTAAAAAAAAAAAATCAATGGAGAAATTAATACTCTGGTGAGGATTAACATAAACAATAAATCACGACAAATTGTTTAATTTACTCTCACACACACATACATAGAACATGGCATAGAAAAAGGATGGAGACAGTAAGTTAGCAATGGTTTTCTGTAAGCAGGTGAATTCTAAATTTTTATAATATTTTTTAAAAATCGATTATATACTATATACACCAATAACTACATTGGGCAAATAAACGCATAGGAAAAGGCCCAAGGCAGGCAGTTCTTCCTTCACTGTCCACCAGGGACCGCCCGCCCGGCCTGGGCGCTGCCTCTCCACCAGTGAGCTCCATGCTTCTCCTGAGGGGCAGGTGGGCCTCAGCGAGAGCCCTGCTTGCTACTGTGGCAGGCGATGGGCCCAAGCTGACGGAGCCATCGCTCGGGAGGGCGCCGGCAGAGCCGGGCCCCCGCTCACAGGTGAGCCTGAGAGACTGGCTCACTTTTGAAGCAACATTGAAAAGCCATAAAGGCTGACCCTGCCCTGTGTAAAACCTACTTTTTAAGCAAATTCTTAATTTTTAGAAAAAAATGTTTATTATAAGCTTTTATATCACCGTCAACAGCTTATCCAGTGTAAGTAATGTGGACTCTTGCAGAGAGTTTATGTGCCTTTATCTGGTGTGACTGACACAGCACGAGTCTTTTTTGAGAATGGGTCTGGGGTAATAGAAACAGTGAGTGAGGGGCCTGCGCCCCTAACACAGAGGCCCTATTCCAGCCCATTCATTTGCTAACGAGACGCATCTTGACGTCTGTCTCTCCCACTGGCTTTCCTCTGCTTTTCTTCGGCGAGCTTCTCGGCGGCGGCGTGCTCCTCCAGGAGCCGCCTCAGCTGCGGCTCACACTGGCTGGCCTGCTGCAGTCCGTCCTCCCTCCCTACAAGGCACGCATGAGGCAGGTTACAGCCGCCCCGGCCTCAGCCACTTCCGCGAGGCAGGCGAGCTGCTCCTCCCGAACCCGTCAAGCTCCAACCCTGAGGCCAGATTTCATCCCAAGGGCTCAGGTAACCTGTCCCAGCACCTTGGAGGCGCAGCACCTACCTTGGCAGTGCTGGATCACGCGGCCCCACAGCCGGTTCCTCCGCAGGCAGGCCAGGTGTCCCACGATCAGCAGGTGCCGCCTCCCTCGGGTCAGGGCCACGTTCACGCGCTGCTCTGAGTCGATGAAGCCCACCTGCCTTGTGCGCACGCAGGACAGCACGACCACCTCCTTCTCGGCCCCCTGGAAGGCGTCCACGGTGGACACCTGCACAGCCGCGAGGTGTGGGCGGTCCTGGTCCACGGCCCCGAGCAGCTGGCACAGCTGGGGGGAGAGACGGATCACACATGCAGGAGCCGTGGGGAAGCGGCCGAGCCCTCACAGCACGTTTTAACCCGAGTGGAAAGTTCACTGTCTTCTGGGGCGCCACAGATCTGCCTGGTTCTAAAGTAAGTACATAACTAGTTGACAACATAAAGTTTAAATCAGCACAAAGAAACAATGAATAATGATTTATCTGTTGCAGGGAGCTCATTTGTAAATGCTAATTTGGGGTTGATAAAATAATGAAACATGGAAAGTTCTAAAAAATTAAAAATTAACAAAAATGTTATAATAATGGACTCATATATACATGAATATCTGGTATCTATCTTTTGTTTACTGGTAAAACAAAATGTTACTGGTAGTAACAATAATGAGGGATAGTTTGGGAAACAGAGATCCAATCCCATCTTCTCAAAACACAAAACACACGCCACATTTCCTTCCCTCTAATTTGTTTATTTGCATTTTTGCCCCAACAGCTGTAAATGGAATTTCATTAAACCTTGTTAGGTTTACATTTAATTACACAGAAAAAAAGCCAGACAGCCAAAACTCAGAATGCTTTTTTTCTGAATGCATTCATTATGGTCCCAAAAGATTTTCAAGCACCAAGTCAAACCCTTACAAATATAATGTCAAACACTGCGATAGAAAACAAGAACGTTTGGTACAGGATGGGACGCAAACCTTGCCCAGCTGGGACTTGTACAGCGTTATCACCCCGATCATGGTGCCTGGGACTCCAACTGCAACCAGAGCGCGAATCAGCATCAGGGTGAAAGCGGCTTCCGCCTCATTGTAAAAGCTGTTCCCTCCTTCCATCTGGAATGAAAAACAGACCCAAAATCACATTTCCCAGAAAGGCAAGCAAGGCTCAGACAGTCACACCACAACCACAGACAACGGACAGGCTGCGCAGCCCACGGACGGCACGCGCCTGCTCCTGCCCCGGGACGTTGTAGAAGCACAGTGTGGGCAGCCAGGCGAGCAGCGGGCCCCTCTCGGCCTGCGAGACGCCGTTCCTGAGGCCGCCGCCGTAGAACAGGTCGTTAGCCACAGCAGCGATGGCCGGGTGGCAGCGGTACTGGGTTCTCAGCAGGACCGGCTTGTGGCCCTAAGAAGTTTAAATGAAGAAAAGTAAAAACTTAAATCAGCACCTTTTTCTTAAGGGAAAAAATGTAATATTTTCAAAGTTAAAAGTATTACCATGTTGTGCTCTGACTAAATGAATTAGAAACATAATAGAGTAGACCACTGGTCGGCAAACTGCGGCTCGTAACCCACATGCGGCTCTTTGGCCCCTTGAGTGTGGCTCTTCTACAAATATCACGTGTGGGCGCGCAATTGAAACTTCGTGGCCCATGCACAGAAGTCGGTTTTCAGCATGGGTGAGTCTATTTTGAAGAAGTGGCATTAAAAGAAGTATAAGTTTAAAAAATTTGGCTCTCAAAAGAAATTTCAATCGTTGTACTGTTGATATTTGGCTCTATTGACTAATGAGTTTGCCGACCACTGGAGTAGACAGTAAATAAAATTTTTAATTACTAAAAGTATTCTCGTGGTAAATGATTACCACACCACAAAGTCATAAAATATAAAACACGTCAAACCTGAGACTCATGATCTAACAAGCAGCGTGAGGAAACCTTCACCTCCGATCTACCCCGCCCACCATGAACCAGCCCTTCGCTCAGCGGGTCCCCCTGAGGACACCGCCCGCCCACGAGTCACTCAGCCTGCTACCCAATGGGCTACCACAGTGCACGGGGCTTGTGCTCACGTCACCCCGATTTCCTAATAATGGCCCCAAAGTACAGGATGCTGGCAATCTGCATATGCCACAGAGCCATAAGGTGCATGTGTGCAGGAAAAAACACGGTGTGTGTAGGGCTTGGATCGCAGTGGCAGGCATCCCTGGGGACTTGGGGCGTACCTCCCCGGGTAAGGGGAGACCATAATGTAACAGTACGACATGTGATACAATGTGGAGGGGCCTCAAGGACATGCTGAGTGGAAGAAGCCAGGCACAGGAAGTCACAGGTGCTTGGTGTGAGGGTGGTGAGCGTGAAACATGAAGCACCTAGAGTGGACAAGCCCACAGACAGAGCAGGCGGTAGGGGCTGGGCAGGAGGGAGGGAATGTGGTTGGGATCAGACAGAGGACTGAGAATGTAAGGAACGCCACTTAAGTTAATGTGGCTAATTCTGTTATGTGAACGTCACCTCAGTTACAAAGAGATAAATGATTCATTCGTTAAATTTTTAATGTGAAGTAGAGTTCTAAAACAGAGCATGGATAATAGAGCATAGGTGTTTATTTTTATTTTTATTTTAGAGCAAAAGCTATATACTTTCTTCCAACTACTAAAATATACATGAAAACGGTTCATTTTATAAAGGAGCACTTAAATTATGGGGTTCTGCTTTTCTTTAGAATGAGTGCTTTAATCTTATTTCTAAAAACTTTTTATTGATTTCAGAGAGGAAGGGAGAGGAAGAGAGAGATAGAAGCATCACTGATGAGAGAGAATCATGGATCAGCTGCCTCCTGCACGCCCCACACTGGGGATCAAGCCTGAAACCCGGGCCTGTGTCCTGACGAGGAATCGAACCCTGACCTCCTGGTTCGACACTCAACCACTGAGCTATGCCAGCTGGGCTAGATGAGCACTTTCTAAACGACTCCAATCACAACTGTTTTAGGACAGGACTCGGTTTTCTTTCCTCCCAGCCTACGCAGTTAGACAGGACATGATCATGCTGTGAGACTGGCGGCAGTGCCTACCATTAAGCAGAGTCGATCAAACAGAGTTTGCTCCAACCCATTTTCATGAGCCGCGTCCGATCCCTGGATAGTTGGGGGAAGCTGCTTGGGATCCCCAACGAGAACCAGCTTTTCACACTCAAACCTAAACACAGATCCAAAAGTTAAATGGCGACAGGAAGCATGACATATACTGTTTTCTAACATGCATTTCAAAGAGGACTGTTCTGTTCGTGGTGTGAAGTGTATTCCCAGGGCCCGAGGCGACGAGTGAAGAAACCCGTATGTAACTTTGTTTTCCCACATAAGCCCTATGTAGTGTCCACTCCTCTGCACAGAACCAGCCTTTCCCAGAACACACTCTGAGAATCAGTGACTTCAGAATCTATAACTGTAGACTTAGGAGCTTGTCTTGGGAAAAATCTAGTTTAAACTACTGCAAGGAGATGTTAGGCTCTCAGGCTTAATGTCTTTCCAAATAGGAGCAAAGTGGGGAGACGGGGAAGGGGGATGCCTGTGTTTGGTGGAAAACCTGCGGATCTGTGAGCACCAGAACTGTATGTGGTCACTCAGATGACCACAGTCTGCCGTACGTACTTGGTCTCGCCCACAATCCCTGCTCGCACCCTGGAAACCCTGGAGTTTCCCAAGAGGTGAAAGGGATCAGGTCCTTTGTTCTGTGGAGAAAGCGACCTCAGCACAGCACCCAAGGCGGGCTGGTTGCCAGGGGACTCTGGGATTGAGGGATGGGGCTTCCAGTCCCAGCCCCAACCCCGACCTCCAGAAAGCTGACTTGGCTCTCCAGTGGTCAGTGAGCTAATTCATCACATGCAGGTATGAGTCTCCATGGGAACAGGAGGGTTCGGAGCTGGGGGTGAGGCTGAGGAGTAGGGAGGCAAAAGAGGGTAAACTGGGGATCAGGAGATAACATGTTTCTCTGAGTTCTGCAAATGCTCTGGCAAATTAATGGAACCAAGAAAATCAAGGGAACCTCTAGTTTATGGCCAGTCGGTCAGAAGTCCAGGTACCAGCCTAGACCTGGCACCGGCACTGAGTTGAAACCTCCGTCTGCACCCAGTAGGTCAGCAGCCTAGGCCTCGCCCTGGCGTCGGAAGTGGGTCTGGAGGACAGCCCTCACCATGCGGCTCTGCGGTGACATGTCAGAGCTGAGGGCAGGTTTTGGTCCCTGCTGGTGTCGGAGGGCTGCTTGCTGGAGGGGTGGGGAACCCTCCCCCGTCCCGCACCAGGAACTGGGTCTGGGAACCCCTATTTCAAACACCTACGTTCACAGCTCTGTGACCCTCTATGAACACACAGGCTATCTATGTGAGCATGAGCACTCAGCAATGATCTGGATGTGACCATGCCTGTATGGCCGTGGTGAGGACGGAATAAAGCACGTGGACAATGGGTCAGTATGCAGTGGGTGCTCCAGAGAGTGACTCCTCTGCCCCTGGCTCCTGGCGGGGAGGCTAACCCTCCTCCTCCGTCCAGGACCGGAACCTGCCGTCCCGGCCAAGTGCAACAACTGGGACCAACACCCCTCACCTGGGGACAGGCCCGCTGAGCCCAAGTCCAGGCCTCCTCCCGCCACCTCGGGATTCATGAGTGAGAGATGCTTTAAAAGCACCATGTTTCAGTGGCGGAGATAGTTTAGAAAATGTCAGTCTTCTACATTTTACGACAAATTGTCATTTTTATTTATTTTTATCTCCTTGATATCCTTTCATAATCTAAAAGCTATTTTTAGAAACTGAGCAGGGGAATGAGATGCAGGGAGGTAACTGAAGCAGAGCCTAGAGCTGGGTCCTCAGATGGCAGCTAGAGGCACCTTCCACAGTGAGCAGCCCGGAAGTGCTGCTTGAGGGCCATCCTCCAGGGGCCTACATGGCCCCTAACAAAACACTGGTACATTAGCCCCCCAAGTATCCCCCTCCCCCCGCCCCGGGTTCTTTAAGACATCAGTGTAGCACTTGAATTGCCAAGGATTTCCACCAGAGCTGGGCGGGCCTGCGGTTACCTGGCGATGGGGAGGAGGGATGCGGGCTCTGTCATCTGGCTGCTCTCATCCAGCACCACCACGGGGAACCGCAGGCCGGCCATGCAGGGGAACAGGCAGGCTGCGCAGGTGGCGCCCACCACGCGGACCTGGGCAGAGGGATGTGAGCGTCATCAGCTACTTAGAAAACAAGAGGGCATATCTACCAAAGAGCCTGCAGGTGGGATCAGAACTGAAGGTGGGAATCCCTGCACTCAGGGACACAGGCCTCTCTGTCCACTGCCCTCTGTCCCACCTGAGAAATGGGAACAGGCACAGCTCCCAAAACACTGCCTACTGGCAGGACACAGGCACACTCGGACACTCAGAGGGAACAGCTTCCAAAATATTACAAAAAAGTCCGAACAGCTGTTACAATCCAGGGTGTTACATGTCAGGGTCCACACACACTTCATCCTCCAGCTGAGGCTGAACACTCAGCACAGCCGCGTTCTTCACGGACGCACTGGACACGCAGACGAACGGGCCTGCTCACGGTCAAGCACACTCCTAACCTGACTCGCCAAGAAGGAAAAGGCAGCTGACTCATTCCAACAAAACATCCCACGCACTGGCAGTTGTAAGTGTATTTGCATCTCACAGACTTAGACATTACACCAGAATACCATTATCCTAAGGTAAAATGCCCAGTGAAAGCTGATATTCAATCTCTGGATTTAAACATAAAAAAGAGGAAAATCAATGAATTTTCTAATTGGATGTGGTCTCTGGCCTTCATCAGCAGGAATACGAGGAACCTGAGATTTCTGTAAACTCAGACCAAAGTGAGGCAGCAGTTCCCGCCTGCCCAGCAGTCATGTCCAGCCCCCCTCCCCCAGCAGTTCCCTCACCTGCCCCAAGAGGGTCCTGTTGGTCCCCAGTTTATGCTGTTCGATGCTTCTCCTCACATAGACTCTTTCCATGGGGGTCAGGTCTTCTTTCATCAGTGCGTGAAGTTCCTTCAATTGCTCACTGGCATTTTCTGAGCCAGCATGCAAGCTAAGAAAGAATGACATAAAATACCCTTCTTCATTCCATTTCCAAAATATTACAAAAAAGTGAAAAACAGATTTCCTAAGTTAACCAAGAAAAAGATAAAGCTTTCTCTCTTCTTCCTCAAAAGACATTTAAGGTAAGAGTTATATAAAATAACTGTGTTTCTGTGAGCACGCTGTGACTTTGGAATTATGATTTCTTACCTGTAAGGTAGGACCGGCTTGGCAATCTTCCTAACACACCCCACTCTGACAAACTTTTCAAATCCGAGACTGAGAAGCCTTTAAACAAAACAGTAAAAGAGAATCTGGTTGTTTACAAAGCAGAGTACAAAACAAAGTTCCATGTAACGTTTATTAAAATTAGTTGGTGTAACAGCATCTTTTAGTTTTATAATTCAATGTGAAATGCTTAAGCTCAATGTGAATGCAATATGGCTGAACGAGTTTTAATATACCACGTTCTACAGAGGACTTCAAACATGTACTCGTACCTTTACTCAGAAAGTCTGGATAAAGTGTAAGCTTACACAGTATATTCCTATCTTTTATTCTAGGCTGAGGACTTGTTCCAAAGAGAAAATCAGAATTGGAGAAAAAAAACTTATGTTTGAGGATCTTTGTCACCATGTTATTTATAACTAGAGGCCCAGTGCACAAAATTCGTGCATGGTGTGTGTGTATCCCTCATGGTATGTGTGTATCCCTCAGTCCAGCCTACACCCTCTCCAATCATGGGCAGTCAGACATCCCTCTCACAATCCAGGACTGCTAGCTCTCAACCACTTGCCTGCCTGCCTGACTCCCCTAACCACTTTTGCCTGCCAGCCTGATCACCTACTAACCACTCCTCTGCCAGTCTGATCGACACCTAACTGCTCCCCTGCCAGCCCAATTGCCCCTAACTGCCCTCCCCTGCCAGCCTGATTGCCTACAACTGCCCTTCCATGCTGGCCAGCTTGTGGGTTGCAGTGACAGTCAATTTGCAATTATCTCTTTATTATATAGGAGGATGGGGAACACTTGGAAAGAAGGGCTGACTTAAAGTGTGATATAAGCAAATCACTGCATATACTAGAGCTATCAAAAGTATGTTTTCTAAGATTTAAAAGCAAGACACAAACATATACTGATCATACCAAGTTTGGAAAACAAAGTATATGTATAAAACATTTGTGAAGAAATATAATATCTGTACAGATGGTATATTTTCACCATAAAGTTGAGTTTTTTTAAGTCTACATCCTACCTAATAAAAGAGTAACATGCAAATTAACCACCACTCTGCTCAAGCCACACCCACCAGCCAATCAGAGGGAGTATGCAAATTAACCCCAACCAATATGGCTACAGCCACAGAGAGCAGTTGAGAGGCTTGGGTTTCCCTGGTAACGGAAGCCAAGCTTTCCACACACCCTGGCCAGCCTAGACCTCCACTCAAGGATACAAAGTTTTAATTATAGAAGATACATAAAACCAAACAAAATGGTGGCAGCTGGAGTGAGCAGGGGTGTCAGAGACAGAGGTATCACATCTGGGTCCAAGGTAGATGGCTGCTCTCAACAACAGACCTCCACCACCAGCTCCTCACGCTCACGTGACATACCCACCCGAGGAGCACTCTGTCCACAGCTACGTTAGTGGAAGAAGAAACCAGCACTTTCCACGGCCGTGCACTTCCCACGGTGGGAGCGTCACTCTTTTCAAACAGCTGCACCAAAAACAGAATCACCACTGCCAGCAAGTAGCTCTTTCCTGCTCCAAAAACTCCTACTTGTTTGGAAGGAAGAGGAAAATAAAGGCAGAATCATAAGTAATTTTTGAAAGCACAAGAAATAATGTCACCATCTCTCTCTCCTTCATTTAACTAATTCATTAAGAAAAACATGAACAACTGAAACCGGTTTGGCTCAGTAGATAGAGCATCGGCCTTCGGATTGAAAAGTCCCAGGTTCAATTCTGGTCAAGGGCATGTACCTTGGTTGCGGGCACAGTCCGCTTTCAACCAATAGGATTGAGGCTCTCCCCATCCAATCAGAGCTAATAGGGGGTGTGCAAGAGGCAGCTGATCGATGTTTCTCTCTTATCAATGTTTCTAACACTCTATCACTCTCTCTTCCTCTCTGTAAAAATATCAATAAAATATATATTTTTAAAAACCATGAACTTAATAATATAAATAAAAAAGTAGAGTTTAAATTTGCCTCATAAAAAATCTAGAGGATAGAATTGAAGCTCTAAATTGATTCTGTCTTGTATTTTTCTTAGAAATGTAAAGTGTTATTAATCTAGGAAATGCAAAATATATTTGACTTGCGAGCTTTAAAAGTTCAAAGTGCAAATTAAATGGGGAGAAAATTATATAATTAAAATGTATTTTCTCTAATAATTAAGAATTCAAAATAAGTTGCTTATTATTGGTCAAATTAAAAAAGGGGATTAATTCTGTGATCTCAAACCAAAAATTTTCTATGCAAAAACTAGTCTAAATCTAATTGATATTTTAAGATAATAATAAAAGGGATTATAATATTTAAATCATATATGGATATAGATTTGTGCTCAGCACCAGGATAAACAGGCCTCTTAGTGAGACCACAGTGTACTTAGGAAGACAGCCAGGGAAGGAACAGCAATGACATGACATGTGGGGGAAGAAGTGGCCAAAGGGGTCAGATGAATGTGATGGGAGGAAACTGGACTCAGAACACAGATGTCAAGTGACAACCTGTACACCTGAACCTTATGTCATACACCTGACTCTTATGTCATACTCTGAGTGTTGCCCCAAGTGTTTAATAAAAAGTAGTAACCTGGAAGGTAATACCGTGACTGCATCAGAGCAGGAACACCTTTCTAACCTGGTGGAGATGGGAACGCTTCCCACAAACAAGCAGAACTGAGTCGCCCAGAGTAAGACACACAAACCCTGGAAGCCAAGGTTCTTCCAGCAGAGGCTGGAGAAGCTCACAGGCCAGAGGCGAGGCTGAGAGGAAGGTGAGGGGCAAGTCCCAGAGCTCTGCTTGCTGTGGGTAAAAATGAATTTTGTCCAGAAGACTGGGGAGTCCCTGAAGCATCTTAAGCAAGGAACTGACTTAAAGTGTTAGGTAAAACTAGTTGAGTGGAGATCTGAAGTGTGAATCCTGAGAAAGAAAACAGCTCCTAAGAAGTGCTCCTGGCGGCTAACTGGCTCAATAAAAGAAAAGGAAGGGAAAAAGCTTTGCAGCCTTTTTTTACAGGGGCTTTCCTGAGCACTGCCCTTCAAGAAGCAACCTGCCCTGGGCCCTGCAGCTGGGCAAGCCCTTATAAAGCACTTCCTGGAGTCCGATTTCAACCAATAGGACTAAGGCTCTCCCCATCCAATCAGAGCTGAGCAGCTCTGACCAACCAGTGTGGCTCTATTCTGACCAATCAGGGCAGTGCCTTTTGGACCAATCACACTTTGAGGATTTGGAGCCCTCATTTGCATGAGAACAAACCAATTGGGGGCCAGGGGTGGGGGTTCTTTCCACAGAAATCACTCCCCCTCTGGCTCTGGGAGCCCTTGCCCTTTCCAGCCGCACTGACCAGCGGCTCCCTGGCTGAGCCAGGACGGCTCAGGGGGCAGAGCAGAGCTGCTGAGCCAGAGGGCTGGCCTAGGGGTGCCCCGAGTCACTGTCCTCACAGCCCCGCTGTCACCATGGAGCTGTTTTCCCTGAAGGAAGTCTCCTTCTCTACCGTGTCCCAGAATGGGAGTTCCTATTGGTGTTGGATTGACACCAATGACCATGAGCTGACAGACGGGTAAAACTCAATAAGAGCATGTGAGGGGATCATGACGATAACACATGCCCACTTTACCAGGTGCCTCCCACATGTCAGGACGAACCCAAGCCTTTACCTAAATCAATACGTCAATCCTCAACCCGAGGAGACAGAGGCTCTTACTAACCCGTGTAACTAGCCACAATAAAGTAGGAATTAAAGCTAGGAGGTGAGTAACCTGCCCAAGATCGCAGCACTAATAGGTGATGGAGCTGGGATGGAGTCCAGGATTCCAGCGCCAAGGCCCAGTCTCACTCACTAGGAATGTGGAGGTAGGTGAAGGCTTGGATTGAGGGGTGCAGGTGACCTAATGGGAATCATCATAAAAGACAGAAACAACACATCTCAGTGACTCATCTGATGGGGAGGGATGAACAGAAAGGAGGGTTGAGAGAAAGTCACTTCATCAGCGAGAGAAAGACTCACTGAGGATGGATACCTGGTGTCCAGCTTGGTCCACAGGGTGATGTGATACAAAACCTTCAGAACAGGACAGAGTGGGATCACTTTGGGGTGCAGGTCTGAGAGGAAAGGGTTGAGGGGGGACAGAATCCAGCTGGAGTGTTATCTCTGCGGCAGAAAAAGTCAAGCTCCTCATGGAGATGAAGCCCAGAGATAAAAACAGGGCAAAGGTAGGTGCGGAGGAGTCTGCTTTGAGTTGCACACCCTGTCTCAGGGCTGGGCAGGGGCCAGCATGGCCAGGACGGAGGAAGGTTTGGGACAGCTGCTGGGAGGATGGGGAGTGAGCTGACCAGGAGTTCATAACGGCTTTGCTAGTCAAAACTGATGCCCCCCATGACAGCCACACGCTGGCATCGCTGTGACGGCTCTAGGCCAATGTCTGGGTCAAACCTGAATACGCCAGTGATGGGCGCAGCACAACTCATGCCCACGCTGCTCTGGCAACTTCTAAAGTGGGTCCAAACCGTCCAAACATCTCTTAGAGACCTTTGGGATCGCACTTGACTAGGAAGGGGCTAAGGAGCAGACCAAGTCACAGAGACTTATATAGGACCAAGTGCTGGTTGCAGGGGGTTCCACACAGCCAGGTGTTGCCTGGCACCCTCCGCTGACCCTTACCGTGGACAATGGTGATGGGCAGGGTGCCGGCGGGCAGCCCCTTCCCTTCCTCGGCAGGCCCGCGCGATGCCACCATGCCTGCTATCTGGGTGAGAGCTGAAGCTTGGTCCTCGTTCAACTGGTGTGCCTGGATGAACTCCCTGGCTAGCTGTAGGGCTGCTCCTGGACCGGGCAGCTCACAGTTTGTCTTGGTGTTGGAGAAGGCTGGTGGGACAAATGTTCTTTTATCCACTCTCTTACTGCTAATTGTGGTTGACGAAGGCCTGGTAAAAAGGAGCAATAAAATCAAGGAAAAAGGAGGGGCTACTGACACAGGGGAGTAGACCTGTTTATAACTTAACCTTCACTTTACCAGCACCTCAGAGAACGTCCTTTTGTGAGCACAAAAGAGAAAAGAACGAACATTTGTTGAATACCTACTATGTGCAGACACTATGGGATCTTCACAACGCTAGGAAGCAGTTAATCTACCCAAATAGAGAGACACAAATAGTAAATGTTTTTCGCCACAAGTACCAGCTACCACGTGGTGTGCTGACATGGAGCCCAGGCCTCATTATGCAGGCTGGCTCAGGAATTCATACAGCCTCTCTTTCAAGTAAAACTGTCAGGGATTAGTTGGCTTTAGTACTATAAAGACAAGAGTTCATTTCAAAGCAGAAAAATAAAATATTAAAAGTACATGAATTTTTTTTAAACCCAAGACGTCACTGTAGTAAGAAGAATGAAACCAAATAGATGATCACATTCCAAATTCAAAACTAGTTTTGTCACTTTAAGTAACACTTCCAATTTTTTTAAAGGCATGATACTTGAGAAATTAAAAATGAGATAAAGATTATGTCAAAGACAAAACTAGTACCAATGTACATGCTAGATTCAAACTGTAAAATATTATTTAAAAGTTTAGTCCAGCTGGTGTAGCTCAGTGGTTGAGTCGATTCTGGGTCAGGGCACAGGCCCTGGTTGTGGGCTCATACCTAGTGTGGGGCGTGCGGAAGGCAGCCAATCTATGTTTCTCTCTCTCTCCCACCTCCATCTCCTCTCTGAAATCGATAAAAAAAAAAAAAAAAATTATATATATGTATATATAAAAGATTTTTTAAAATATATATTTTATTGATTTTTTACAGAGAGGAAGGGAGAGAGATAAAGAACTAGAAACGTTGATGAGAGAGAAACATTGACCAGCTGCCTCTTGCACATGCCCCGCAACCAACGTACATGTCCTTGACTGGAATTGAACCCGGGACCTTTCAGTCCGCAGACCGACGCTCTACCGCTGAGCCAAACCAGTTTTGGCATAAAAAAGATTTTTAATTGAATAAACCTGACATATAACATTGTAAATAAATTTAAGGTGTGTAATATGATACTTTGATAATGTGAAATTATTCTTTTAAATGTTACATAATTTATGGAATAAAAATACACAAGAATAAAAAAAATACTCAAATGATCTTAAGAAGTTATCCTGACATGGGAAAATAATTTGCAGTGGCCTCTATTAGCCCAACCACAACGGGGCTACAGGAACGGGTGGCTGATGGGAACAGTGTGTGCCTCCCAGCAGTCCTCTCACACCAGTAGTCTCGGAGAGACGATGACATTTTGTTGCCAAATGTACGGGATGTACTTTTCCTGGGGATCCACGCCCCCGGGAAGGACTTACATGGCCAACAGGTGCTGCATCAGAGGCAGGGTCGCGGGGTTGAAGTGCTCCTGCATGTTTCTCAGGGTGGTCAGCTCGGTGCTGGCATTGCAGACCCACAGCGCGTGGACGACTGCTGCGGAGAGGGCGTGGTGGGGCGTCAGTGCACACGACAAGACCGTCAGCACCTCAGTGTCCACGCAGCTCAGAGCCGTGCTGAACCAGTCCCAGGCTGCAGCAAGCCCTCAGCACATGCACTCGTGCTGCCGTCTGCACAGGCACACTGTGGGTGGGTCCGTGACTGTACCCTGAGGGGCGTGGGACACACACAGCAGTCGATGGACAGACGAACAGATACTGTGGAGTCACATGGTTGACATGCGCAGCTACTCAGCACCCCGCCCTGTCCCTGCAGCATCTGTGTCATTTCTGAGCACTTGGCTGCATTTCTTCACTTACTTCATAGAGCGATATGGGAAGCAGGAAATTAGTGAGATTGCTGAGGAATCTGAAGTGACCGATGTTCACTTCACTAGACAACTCCAGCTGTCCACTCCGTTCCCACAGGAAATATGGAGTTAGCCTGGCCAACAACTTAGTGCTTGGAGTGTCGGCCTGCGCACCAGAGCGTCTTGGGTTCCATTCCCAGGCAAGGGCATGTACCTGGGTTGCAGGTTCCATCACATCCCAGTGGGGTGGGTGCGGGCTGCAACCAATCGATGTGTCCCCTCACATTGATATTTTTCTCTCAATTTCCATCTCCCCTTCCATTCTCTCCTCGGGTGAGGATTCACACACACTCTCTCACACACACACGTTAAAACTTATATGAAATACGTGAATGAGTCACTAAATGTTATGTCTTTAATTAGCCATGGGCCAAATCCTGGACGTCAGAAATCCCAGAGCTGCAAATGTGGGAGACCCCAGGTTCACCAACGGGTGGCACTGGCCCTCCCGTGAATGAGGCTGATGGCCCGGCCTCACCAGGAGCACCCAGGGCCAAAGGCACCATCCCTCCACATAAAACACCCTCCGCTCACCTGCTCTCCAAATTTCTTGCAAAATCTGAGGACTACTTCCGATATGAAAGTATATTATTTGCTTATAATGTGCCTGACTAGAATAAGGAACCAAGGAAATTAAGTAAACCAAGAGAATAAAACTTAATACAAGAAATTATTTGACAAAATTCTTATTTAAAAATCAGGTACATGCCCTGTAAATGCAACCTCAGTGAGGGTCAGGGGGTTTGGGAGTTGATAGCACTCTGGGGCTTGAACTGCAGGAACATTTACAGCGTCACCTGTCACACACGTTTCTAGGGACACAATACAGGAGGCAGAAGTGGGTGCTTTTTCTCGGCTCTAATCAAAGAACCCCACGATGAGCACTCCAGCCCGCAGCGCCTCACGCCTGTCCTCTCTGGTACATGAGGTGTGGCCATACTCACTGTCCGTGGGCCACCGGGAGGGGAAGTAGCCTTTCAGAGGAAGCAGCTCCACCTCGTTGGCGGACGAGGGCCCGAAGAAAGCGCTGCAGGCAATGAGCGTGTCCAGCTGGAAGTCCACGGTTTTGGAGACCACCCACAGATCGTCTGCAAACAGACATGGAGAGGACTCGGGACGATGCTCAATCCAGAGCTACGTAGATTTCTTAGGTGCCTAGTCTGACACTATTTCCAAAAAACAAAATTGGTATTGTCATCTGCAAGATTCCACCCAAATGAGGACCTGAACATATACCACTTCATGTTTTTAACTAGATTACTTTCATGGTTTTAAAGTTATTATAAAAAAGTGTAAATAAAGCAGACAACATCTGACTCCTCTCTTCTAGAACAGCCTTATAGCTACATCAGACTTTCCCCACGTACACTACTAGTCTAGAGCAGTGATTCTCATCTCATGGCACACATAAACTAATTACTAAGATTCGGTGTGGCACACAAAAATATAAAAAAAATAGGTTACAATTTTATTTTTTAATTTTTTCTTTTTTTTTTTTCTTCAGATTTTTTATTTTTTTATTTTTATTTTTATTTTTTTTAAAAATCAATCTTTATTGTTCATATTATTACAAAGGTTCCTCATTTCTTCCCCGCTCCACCAGGTTCCCACCCCACCCTCTACCCCCTCCCCATCCCCCATTGTCCTCATCCATAGGTGCACAGTTTATGTTCAGTCTCTTCTTCCCTCCCTTTCCCCAATAGTAAATCCCTTTTCAGATAGTAAATCAGTTACTTAGCATTTTCTCACATCAATAATACCTCCACATGCCCATTGATACACTTCACACAAAAGACATTTCCAAATAGGTCAACTAGCCTCATCCAGGCCCCACCCAAGGCACTCACAGATCAACACCCCAGCCCTATACTAACTCAACACATCCAGATCTAAGCCTTCATCACTTGATTCAGCAGACCCTCAAGTTCCCACGAAAGTTTCCAGCCATGTCTGAGAGGCAGCCGTGGGGCAGGGGCAGGCGAGGAGCGAGCTATTCCGGGCCTGCCTGCTCAGGGCCTGGCCTCTGTTGCTCTGGTTCGTTCCACAACCAGCTGCTCCGGGTCTGGTCACTGCCGCTCCCAACCTAGTTGCTCTGGACTTGGCTGCTGCTACTCCGGGCCTGGCCGCTCCCAGCCTGGCAGCCGCTGCTCCGGGCCTGGCCGCACCCGACCCGGCTGCTCCCCCGGGCCTGGCCGCTCCCAGCCTGGCAGCCGCTGCTCCGGGCCTGGCTGCACCCGACCTGGCTAGGTTACAATTTTAAATCACTCACACTGGATGGCTATTGTTGGTGGGCTATTGTTAATTTTTATCTGACAATCTGAGGGAAAAGAGGTCAGTGACCCTGACTCAATAGGCAGGAACTGCATGTTTTAAACATTCTGTGGCACACAGGTTGAAAACCGCTGGTCTAGAGATGCTCTGCGGTATAGTGGTTTCCATGCTCAGAAAAGGTTGGCAGTCCATGGATGGAATGCAGTCTCTTCCCAGACCTCTGCTAGCTGCAGAGAATGAACAGTCTGCCTTCTCTCTGTAGAGCCTGCCCACCCATCCCCAGCGCACACTGTGACCCCGTGGCCAGCAGGCCACTGCACGAACATCTGAGCACAGTTTGTACCACCGCCAGAATTAACGCTTGCAAAGAGTCAACTCTAGCCCTGGCTGGTGACTCAGTTGGTTAAGCATCACCATGTGCACTGAAAGGGCACCTATTCGATTCCTGGTCTGGGCACACATCCAGGTAGCGGGTTTGATCCACAACTGAAGTGTGCATGGGAGGCAATCAATAAATGTTCCTTTCTCACACTGATGTTTTTTTCCTCGCTCTCTATCTCAAATCAATAAAAACATATTTTTTTTAAAGAAAGTTAAAAAAGAGTCAACTGTATTTGTCTTTTTTAAAACTGTGTTAGTTCTAAAACTTATTTATAACAGTTTTATCTGTTATTATAATCATATAACTTAATCCTGTATTATTTCAGCCATTATGAACATGAAGAAAAAAACTGTTTTAAGAAAATCTAAGCGAACAATTTAGAAAAAATTTAAAGGATTTGCTAAAGAAAGGGACCCAGAGAGAAACCAAGATGGCAGCAAAGGTAAACAACTTATCTGCCGCCTCGCACAACGATTTCAAAACTATAACTAAAAGACAAAACGTCGTCACCCAGAACCACGGGAAAACTGTCTGAACGCAAGTCTTACAACTAGAAGGAAAGAGAAAGGAGCACAAGCGCTGAAAAGCTGAGGTATAGAGGCACGCAACTCGGGCTGGTGGCGAGCAACTGGGCACACAGCTTTTTTTAACCTGAAGGGAAACAAGCTCCCCATCACTTTGAAATCCAGTTTCTGGGGATACACGGGCAAACAGACACCTACGGGGAAAAGGTGGTCTGTCGGCCATTGGGTCCCAAAGTGAGGGTGACTCTTGCAGAGGTGCGTGCAGCAATCATTGTTTATGGCATTGGAGTGCGAGGACATGGGGACTTGGACACGGGGAAAGGCAGAGACAGCTGCCGGCAGCCATTGCTTAGTGACACCCGGAGACCCCACCCTGCCCTGCCCTAAGGCCTCACCCGCACATTCTACAAACCCGCCCAGGCTCCACACAGCGCTTTTGCATATAAATGGCCTGCACTGTGGCAGCTTAACAAAATAAACTGCAGCTCCAAAATTGCCAAGTCCCAAGCAAAGAGAAGAAAACTGTAGTTCCTGCTGAATGGCCTAGACAGTAACTGACCTGCACCCCATTGGAGACCCAGAAATCTAGTGGTCAGTGTGAAACGACACCACATTTCAACTACTCTCATAAGGGACACGTTCAAGAGGAAGAATCAGTGAGCACCAAAGCCCTACTGGAACAAGTCCTGCCCCATAAACATGTCTCCAGCACAGCAATTATTCCATTATAGACACAGCAGGTTCTCACAGCCAATTGGCCTGGAGGTCAATTCCTCCCAGTGACACCAACAACAATCAAGACTTAACTACAACAAGGCTGTACACACAGTCCACAAAGGGGTGCACCAAGAGTGTCCACATCATGTAACTGGGAGGCTGACCCATTGAACCATATAGGACACCAAGCACACAAAGCTACCCTACCAACTCAGGGAAGCAGCGAAAATGAGGAGACAAGGAAACAGATCACAAACAAAAGAAATGGAGGATAACAAATGACTGGACATAGAGTTCAAAACCTATAAGGTTTTTCAAGAATTTCCTAGAAAAGGCCAATAAATTTAGCAAGACCCTCAAGGATTTGAAAGAAACCCTTGAGGAAATGGAAAAGGACCAACTAGAAATTAAACATACACTGACTGAAATAAAAAATATTATACAGAGACCCAACTGCAGACTAGAAGAATGCAAGAATCAAGTCAAAGATTTGTTATACAAAGAGGCAAAAGACACTTCTCCAGAGAAGCAAGAAGAGAAGAGGATCCAGAAAGTTGACGATAGTGTAAGAAGCCTCTGGAACAACTTCAAGTGTACTAACATCAGAATTATTGGGGGGGGGGGGGCAGAAAAAGAGAGAGTGCAAGGCACTGAAAACCTATTTGAGGAAATAATGATCAAAAACTTCCCCCACCTGGTGAAAGAAATAGACTTAAAGTCCAAGAAGCACACAGAACCCCAAACAAAAGGAATCCAAGACACATCATAAGTAAAGTGCCAAGAGCAAAAGACAAAGAGAGAATCTTACAAGCAACAAAAGAAAAACAGTTAGTTATCTACAAGGAGCATCCATACGATTATCAGCTGATTTCTCAACAGAAACTATGCAGGCCAGAAGGGAGTGGCAAGAAATATTCAAAGTGATGAATAGCAAGAACCTACAACCAAGATTACTCTACCCAGCAAAGCTAACATTCAGAATTGAAGGAGAGATAAAAAGCTTCACAAATCAGCCGAAACTGGTTTGGCTCAGTGGTAGAGCATCAGTCTGTGGACTGAAAGGTCCCAGGTTTGATTCTGGTCAGGGGCATGTATGTTGGTTGCGGGCACATCCCCGGTGGGAAGTGTGCAAGAGGCAGCTGGTTGGTGTTTCTCTCTCATCAATGTTTCTAGCTCTCTATCTCTCTCCCTTCCTCTCTGTAAAAAATCAATAAATTATATTAAAAAAAAAAAAAAAAGCTTCACAGAAAAGCTAAAGGAGTTCATCATCACCAAACCAGTATTATATGAAATGCTAAAAGGTGTTCTTTAAAAAGAGGAAAAAAGTAAAGATAAAAATTATGAACAACAAATATGTATCTATCAATAAGTGAATCTAAAAGTCAAATGAATTAAAAATCTGAGGAACAGAATAAACTGGTGAATATAATAGAATCAGGGACATAAAATGGAAGGGGATTGATAATTCTCGGGGGAAAGGGGTGTCTGAGTCAGGGGTATGGGAAGAGACTGGACAAAAATCATACACCTATAGATGAGGACAGCAGGGGGGGGGGGGTAAGGGCATAGGGTAGGGTGGGGACCGTGTGGAGGGAAGCTATAGGGGGGGAGGAGAAACAATTGTAATAATCTGAACAATAAAGATTTATTAAATTAAAAAAGAAAAAAGAAAAGAAAAGAAAAAAAAACAGCCCTAACCGTTTTTTGGCTCGGTGGATAGAGCATTGGCCTCCAGACTGAAAGGTCCCAGGTTCAATTCCAGTAAAGGGCATGTACCTTGGTTGCCGGCACATCCCTCGTAGGAGGTGTGCAGAAGGCAGCTGATCAATGTTTCTCTCTCATCAATGTTTCTAGCTCTCTATCCCTCTCTTTCTCTGTAAAAAAAAAAAAAATCAATAAAATATATTTAAAAAGGGAACCAAAACACAATAAAACACTTCAGATTCAAGTACAGAGGAGATCAGTGTACAACATGAGAAAAGAGAGTGAGCAAGTGGAAATTGCTTTCCACTCAGATTGCTTCCAAGGTGTCTGCGTGCTTGCCCAGGTCAGAAGGCATGTTCATGGTGGTGCCCTGTGGGGATGGTTTATACGAGAACGATGAATGGATCTCCAATCAAAAGCCCACATTCTGGACAAAAGCCTTGACTCTGTCAAAATCTCATTAAATAAAAATGTTCATCCATTTTAAGATAAAATGCTTACTGTTCATAGGCATTCTTTATAATCCTGATCTAAACAACTTCTACAATAACTGACCCAGCGAGGCTCATCGGCCTCATGAGGACGGCTCGCAGGCGCAGTGCCACCCAGGGAAGCCCAGCGCACAGCAGCACCGCGGGCTGGCAGACCCGGCTGAGCCTGTGTTAACTCGGCCCTTTCCCAGCCCATCCAGCCGCAGGCCCCCTGAGAACTGCCACTTCAGTAAAATATGTTTAGGAAACTATTTTAGAAAAAGCTGAGCTACCCTACAGTATGTTTTACACCAAATTTATTTTAAAGTATTTTCCAATTGAGGTAACATATCAAAACAATTTATTCCTATTTGCTAATATTTACTTTCTTAAACATTTGCCACAATTTGTAGAAAGATGTCTGCTTCACGACAGCTGACAGGAGAAGTGTGTTCCCGCTCCGTTCTCCGCCGTCCCACTGCAATGACTGCACAGACCCGGGCCGCGCAGGAGACCACCCTCACTTCTAGGAAGAGATATTCTTATGGAATGATAAAATCTACAAAGCTTGGAAACTACTAATTCCTGCAGATGATGGGAAGGAATTCTGGGAGGAAAGAAAAAAGACAGAGAGAATTTTCTCGGGGGACTTCAGGAAACCCCAAGCTCGGCAGCCACGGGAAGCTGTGGCTGTGGGTGTAGGAAGTGAGTGGGGCATCACTCCTGAGCCACTGACTCCAGGGTCTGTCCTAAGACTGAAACTGGGCATGTGACCCTCAACACAGAGGCTCAGGGCCAACTCCGGGGGCAGTGACCAGGGAGGGATTTGAGTGAGGAGGGGTGGCCACGTGCATGAGTACTGGGCACCATGACCAGCGAGCAGATCAGTCATCTGCAGGTCTCAATCGACAGGATTTGCTGCTAGGAAGACACACTAGCCTATGTTATATTCTAGGCCAACAGGCATTGTACATGTCAGGTAGGTGTGATTACTATGATTCTCTGGACAGGCGTTAAGTAAATTATCCACACACAGAGGCCATAAACTGAGGCCTGAGGCTGAGCCACCTCCCTGAGTCATGGGAGCACTGAGCCCGGCCAGCCTCCCGGACGCACTGCCAGAGAACAGCTGATCCCAGGGAACAGGTCACAGGCCAGCACAATGACCACTGAAGGGGCACAGGGCCCTGAATAGAAACCCTGGGCCTCGGAGCCCTGCAGAGGAGACAGCAGACAGATGGGCACAGCAGGCAGTGAGCCTGGGGAAGAGGGAAACGAGGGAAGGTGCAGCAATGCAATCAGGAGCAAGAAAAGGAAAGGAACAACAGTATTCGTGTGGAAAAATATGGTAATTAAAGTATAATCAATGGGATAAAAAGAGAATGGGTACATTTGAAAAGCAAGCAATTTAGAAGGAAGACAACAAAAACCCAGACAATGTAAAAGAAATGTGAAGATATTTAGAGATTAGATTCATAAGTGCTGACATCTGAATAATAAAAGTTCTAGTGAAATAAATAAAAAGAAGAGGGAGATTATCTGAAGAAATAATGGAGATCAGCATTTCCCTATACGCAGTGTCGATCAGGCCTCCCATTGCACTTACCATGAAGGCACAAACGAAAGAAATGGAGGACAAAAAGCGACTGGATATAGAGTTCAAAACCACGCTTATAAGGTTTTTCAAGAATCTCCTAGAAAAGGTTAATAAAATAAACAAGACCTATGAAGATATGAAAAGGGGTCAACTAGAAATAATAAAGGATCAACTAGAAATAATAAGGGATCAACAAGAAATAATAAGAGGTCAACAAGAAATAAAGAATACATTCTCTGAATTAAAAAATATTATACAGAGTCCTAAAAACAGAATGGAAGATTGCAAGAATCAAGTCAAAGATTTGGAACACAAAGAGCCAGAAGACACTCCTCCGCAGAAGCAAGAAAACAAGAGAATCCAGAAAGTTGGAGGTAGTGTAAGAAATCTCTGGGACAACTTCAAGCAAACCAACATCAGAATTATGGGCGTCCCAGAAGGTGACAGAGAGCAAGATACTGAAAACATATTGAAAGAAATAGTGACAGAAAACTTCCCCCACCTGGTGAAAGAAATAGACTTACAAGTTTTGGAAGCACACAGAACCCCACACAAAAGGAATCCAAAGAGGACCACACCAAAACACATCATAATTAAAATTCCAAGAGCAAAAGACAAAGAGAGAATATTAAAAACAGCAAGAGAAAAGCAGGTAGTTACCTACAAAGGAGCACCCATACGATTGTCAGCTGATTTCTCAACAGAAACCATGCAGGCCAGATGGGAATGGCAAGAAATATTCAAGGTGATGAATAGTAAGAACCTACAGCCAAAGATAATCTACCCAGCAAAGCTATCACTCAGAATCGAAGGCCAGATAAAGAGCTTTACTAATAAAAATAAAAAAAAAAGCTAAAGGAGTTCATCACTACCAAACCAGAATTATATGAATTGCTGAAGGGGGTTCTTTCAGAAGAGAAAGTAAATAAAGATAAAAATTATGAACAACAAATATGTAACTATCAACAAGTGAATCTAAAAACCAAGGGAATTAAAAACCTGATGAACAATATTAACTGTTGAATATAATAGAATCAGAGGTACGGAAAGGGAATGGACTGACAATTCTCGGGGAAGAGAGGAGTGGGGGATGTGGGAAGAGACTGAACATAAACTGAACACCTATGGACGAGGACAAGGGGGGTGGGGAAAGGGAACCTGGTGGAAGAGAAAAAAATGAGGAACTTTTGTAATAATATGAACAATAAAGATTTATTTTTTTAAAAATGACCGAAACAAGCCAGGGAAGAGGTGAGCACATTTGAATCAGAGCTTTTCCACTCACTTGGATCAAAGAGCTTGGGAAGAAATCAGAGAACAGCCCTCAGCAGTTTGGCTCAGTGGATGGAGCATCGGCCTGTGGACTGAAAGGTCCCAGGTTCGATTTCGGTCAAGGGGGGTGTGCAGGAGGCAGCTGATGGATGTTTCTCTCTCATTGATGTTTCTAACTCTCTATCCCTCTCCCTTCCTCTTTGTAAAAAATCAATAAAATATACTTTTTAAAAAGAAAGAAATCAGAGAACAGGCTCTGAAAGCAAAACCCAGGTTTTCAGGAGAAGGAATCTCAATTTCAAGCGTCAGCTTGCCAGAAGCACAGAGGACCTGGACACTCAAAACAGACACAGCTGCTGCTGTCCTCCTGGGGCCGGCAGGAGGCTGGAGGGACGGCATCAGAACTTGCTATGTTCCCAGGGAAAAGCCACATGTGATGACTGAACTTGACCATCTAAAAATTCTTTTTCTGCCTTTGTTTTTTTAACCAGCCCATTATTTAAACTCCTATTTGAACAAATCTCTTTTGAGAATAGAAATATTTTACTTTTTAAAGCTACTCATGTCTTAAAAATATATTTAATTAATTTTAGAGAGGAGAGAGCTACATCAATGTGAGAGAGAAACACCTATCAGTTTTGCCTTCTGTATACAACCCACCACTGGGCATTGGGGATTGAACCCACAACCTGGGCATGTGCCCTGACCTGGAATTGAGGCAGTGCATGGGCTGATGCTCAACCAACTGAGCAACCTGGCCAGGCAAGCTTGTTGTCTGTTTCTTTTTTAAGTATGTTCAAATTAGGCTTATATAAAAAACTACATAAGCTTTTTCCATTTCCCTTTTTATTAATTTTATTGGAGTAGCATCGGTTATATAAATTGATTTTTTAAAATATGCCCAGTCTGTTTCCTTTAGAAAAGAATTATGAGGTTATAATTCTGATTTCCTCATCTGTGCTTATCATGAAGTGAATTAGTCTGTTTCTTTGCTTGAAAATAAATGTTGAGATACATTTAACATAATAATGAAATATGAGGAAATTACAGCTATTTAAAATAGATCACCTTTGCTAAAAGTTGTTGTTAATATAACTAAGATTAAGATGTAATGTTTATTATGAGTATGCAGATAATAAATTATATAACTAAATATTAATTTTTATTATAGTTTTAAATATTTGTGATTTTGTACTTTTTGACTGTTTTAGTTTTCCAGGACAAATTTGGATTTCTGAGTTATATTCCAATTATTTAGGAAACATACATTGTTTAAAGGTAGCAACACAATCAAAAACTGGTTTTATATTTCACTGCATATAAACATTTCTGTTAAATCAGAATGTACAACACCCAATTACTCGGCTACATGTGCTTAAGAGACATTTTGAGGAGCCGCAGGTTAGGATTCAGGTGAACCAGCTGTGTGTGTGGGGCTGAGGTGGGGGGCATGCCCACTGACAGCGGAGGTGGCTGAGGCTGAGGCAGGGACTGCACTAAGCACCCTAGTCCTGCTCCTAAAAGGAACAGGACTTTAATCCTTTCCAGTCACTTCTGTTGCTCTGCGGGAAATTAATGGTTCTTGGTTAATTAAGTAAAAGTAACAAAACTTGAAAGATAAATATAGAGAGAGTGTACAGAGCCTGAGGCATTGACACGATCAAACCAGCCTACCTTTGCTATAAGCTGAAGAACTTTCCTTCCGACTCAGCTTGAGATACAGTTTGCTTTTAGGTTCATTATACAAGTCAGGATTTACGGTCATAAACTTCTTTAGTCTGCCACACTGTTTTCTTTGAAAATCAAATCCTTTTCTGCAAAATGAGTAAAAAAAACAAAAATGAATTTGAATATTAAGGTACAAATTTTTTGTTGATTGAAATATAACTGGCACATATTTCATATTAGCTTCAGGGGTACAGCACAGCAATTCTTATAGACAGTAACAAGACTACTGTGGTAAGTCTACATAACATATGTAGTTACATTTTTTCTTGTGATGAGAACTTTTAAGATTTACCCTCTTAGCAACTTTTAAACAGACTGTATACAGTATTGCTAACCATAGTCAGCGTGCTGGACATGACACCCCCAGGACTAATTTATTTTATAACTGAAACCTGAAAGCACAACTGTTTTAAAATACAGTAGGCTAAGAACCAGGATGTATGTATGCTCACGTTCTTTCAGACATACATACAAATAAAAACATACTGTGTCAAAGGAAGGCAGCAGCAGCCCTCCTGTTTTACAAGAGACTGAGATAGAAAAGGCATCTCAGCATAAGGAGTGTGTGACTGTCAAATGGGAATAACAAGTCAGCCCCTGATTCCCATCATAGAGGTGAGTATGAGGACTGATAGACACTCAAAGTGCTTAGCAGAGTGCCCAGCACATGGGAGCTCCAGTGCACACTGTTCTTACTGTGAAAGAAAAGAGCCACATGCTAACCTGACAAGCTCAGGGAAGACCTGTGTGGCAGTCTTGCAAACTCAAGAGACCTAAAATAACCACAGAAGATGGTTTGAAAATTAAATATCTAACTACAAACAGATTATAGTGAGTAGTCATGTCCTAGACCGATATTTCATCTGACAAAGATCAACTTAGATCTTCTTTCCAGAGCCCATTTGCCTTTTTGCCTCTAAGATAACATATCTGTGAGATGTCTGGGTAACTTGTAACTTCCTTTTTATCTCCTTCCACCTCAGGGCACAACAAATGGCCTGGAGACATTCCCTCATTGTTATTGTTATCAAGTTAATTGTCAACTGTTATTTAGAGTTTCCTGTATCCATCTCTGTAAAAGAAGCTCATGATCCCCAAAACCGGTTTGACTCAGTGGTAGAGCTTCGGTCTGCGGACTGAAGGGTCCCGGGTTCGATTCCGGTCAGGGGCATGTACATTGGTTGCGGGCACATCTCCAGTAGGGGGTGTGCAAGAGGCAGCTGGTCGATGTTTCTGTCTCATCGACGTTTCTAGCTGTCTATCTCTCTCCCTTCCTCTCTGTAAGAAATCAAAAAAAAAAAAAAAGAAGCTCATGTCCACCTATTCCAGAGGTTTCCAGCTTCGCTCTGTCCCACCTCCCTAATCTATCACCAATGAATGTCATGTAACTCACCTATGTCCCTTCCTTTGATTGCAATGTATAAATAAAGAAATGTAACCCGCCATTCTTCAGAGCATTATCTCAACCCATTGAGGTTCTGCTTCCCAGCATATTTCGACAGTTTGGCTCAAATAAACTCACTAAAATTCTTTACAGGTTTCAGTGTAAACAGGGTTTTTTCTTCCATTAACATTATTAAATTATCATGCACATGCTCAGTATAGCTTCCTTTTGGGCAGTCCTGCTGCTATGAAACATGTTTCCAAACGCAGCACTTGCTACCTGCATGGGCTGTGGCAGGCCACCACCTATGGCCGACCCTGCCCTCATCAAAGCCACGCTGTGGCTGCTTCAGCAGAATTTCCCTTGGGATTGGGACTATGTATAAGAATGATTAGAAAACTAACATGCCTGCAGTTACGTGGTATCGCTGGATGCAGAGAGGGGCCAGCATGGCGTTAGGGCACTGTTCCCCTCAGCAGGAAGCACAAGGTGTGCTTCTAGGCACCTTATCTCCTCAGCCTCCCTTGGAACCTAGGGGACCGCTCTCTGTTAGAGACGCTGTTTGCTATGAGCACACACCTCACGGAAAGCTGGCACTCTTCGTAGAGGGCGATGCTCTGGCTCCGGAGGTACAAGCCAATGCTCTTCACGTCATTGAGCACCAGGGCGGGTGCAGAGTCCTCCTGTGCGACATGTCCTGGGGTCGCTTCTTCAAACCACTTAAAAAAGTTACACCTGTCAGCTCTGGGTGCATCACAGGTATAAAAGAGACGACCCTAAGGAGAAGAGAAAAAATGTTTCTACTTTATACTGTGTTTTTTTTTTAAAAGGAAAGTCCTTTTTAAAAAAATTATTGATTTGAGTAGAGGAAGGAGGAGAGAGGGAGGGAAGGAGAGAAGGGGAGAGAGAGGGAAGGAGGAGAGGGAGGGAGGGAGGGAGGGAAGGAGGGAGGGAGAGAGAGAGAGTTATCTTTCACTTATTTATGCACTCACTGGTTGCTTCCTGCATGTGCCCTGACCCAGGATGGAACTCGCAGCCTTGGCAAATTGGGATGACGAGCTAATCAATGAGCAACCTGGCCAGGGCTTGTATTATGTTTGTTGAGACTCTTCACAAAGTGTTTGGCATTAATGCACTCCAATAAGTTAGTCATCACACAACTCAATCTTTTCATTAGTTTAAATAATAAATTAAAATTTAAAACCAGCTAGTTTTCCATTTGTTTTTTCCTTATCAAAAAGTTACATGTTACATTATTCTGAGAATATAAGCTTGTTTGAAAAATACAATGTACTTTTTTCTGATTTAAAGTGATCACTGCTGCCGAAACCGGTTTGGCTCAGTGGATAGAGCATCAGCCTACAGACTGAAAGGTCCCAGGTTCGATTCCGGTGAAGGGCATGGACCTTGGTTGCAGGCACATCCCCAGTAGGGGCTGTGCAAGAGGCAGCTGATCGATGTCTCTCTCTCATCGATGTTTCTGACTCTCTATCCCTCTCTCCTCCTCTCTGTAAAAAATCAATAAAATATATTTAAAAAATTAAAAAAATAAAGTGATCACTACCGACAGCCAGCCTGTGAGCTGCCCAAGCAGCTGCAGATGTGGGAGCACCTGGCGCCCTTCTCACAGCCTTTCCCGCTCACTGATCTGCACATGCGCACACGATACACGTGTATAGATTGCTCTGCTCTTTAAAGTAAAATTCAGACCTTATACCAACAACATACTACTAGTATGACAACTATGTCATCAAATAATATTTTAAAAATTAGTGGCTCTAGAACATTTTATTCCATGGTTCTAATATTGTTTATGAACTCTCAGTTTTGACAACTATATTTAAAGCAAGTTTACATGCTCAGCATGCAGACAAGGGAGGAAAACTTGTTCCTGTTCGAGTCGGGTCTTATAAGGAGAAGGCCCACACACTGACAGAGACATTTCACTGCCTCACATTGCTGTGCGTATTTAGCAAAATAAACAAGTCGGGGTGTGTTCTGTCCTCTGCCTTGGGGAGTCCATTCCTCCCGACCTTCAGGCTCTCCCTGGGGCTGGGCGTGTTCCTCCTGCCTTACCTGCCATGTAACCTTCCTTCCGTCCCTCTCCACCCACCACTTAGCTTTCAGTTCCTAAGCGATCTGAAGGTGGGCCTTCATTCATAGTTTTGTATCCCTGAGCACAGATCATCCTTCGATGCTACTATTGTTTGCGTTAGTTACTAAAGCCCAGGTAGAGGCTCCTGCACCTTTAAGGAGACAATGTTCATGGACAACAGGAGGGAAGAGGGAGCGAGACCTTGTTGGGACCCTCCTTCTTCACCATGACGAGCTTCGCAGGCCGCTGATGGCGGCAGGATGGCACGCTGTTTCCCACAGTGCTCCCTCCCTCTCCGTGTGACGACGTGTAAAATGATATGTCGACTGCAGAAAGAGCTTTGTGCAGCCTCTGTGCCAACCCGCACAGCAGTATGTTCAGATGTTCTACGAAAAGCAAGGTGGAAATTAATCACAAAACAATGGCATGTCTGCATCCATGGACACTTGACCTGGAAAGAGCCTGTGAGCAGAGAACTATAAGCTAACACTGAGCTTAAGGGCACAGCTTGCCCGTGGACAGTAGAATGAGCATCCAATCAGGCATCAGACTTAAACCCCCTCTTAACAAAACCACCTGTAACACTCGGAGTTTAAGAGAAAATAAAAAATTATAACTTGAAACACAGAATACTTTTCCCATTTCTAAAACAATCTGGATCTGATACTAAGTTACTGTCACGCTCAGAGTAAATATGGGTGAAAACACACCCCGAGGAGAGTTTGCCATGAAAGCTCACACGGCAGACACCGGGGCGCAATGCCCACCCCGCACAGAACACAGACAGCGCAGCCGTACCCATGAGACAGGCGGTGAAGACCTGCTTGTAGTGCGTGGGAGACCGGAAGGCGGCAGGCACGCGGGTCTGCCTTCGGGGAAGGAGAGCAGACCGCATCTCCCGCCCACTGGGGAAGCACAGCTCAGAGACGTTTATCTCCTGCAACGGAGTCACTCAGGTTAATACAACAACTAAAAATGCTGATTACTAGTGAGTAAGTTATTTCCTATAGATATGTTCAAGAAAATAAGCAATTTTTAAACCTTGAAAATAATTTCCGATGTTTAAATGAGAAACCAGTATGGGGAGAATGGCAATGGGAGGTACTGTTACTAATAGAACTAACTTTTTTAAAATATATTTTATTTATTTTTTTACAGAGAGGAAGGGAGAGAGATAGAGAGCTAGAAACATCGATGAGAGAGAAACATCGATCAGCTGCCTCCTGCACACCCACCACTGGGGATGTGCCCGCAACCAATGTACATGCCTTGACCGGAATCAAACCTGGGACCTTTCAGTCCGCAGGCCGATGCTCTATCCACTGAGCCAAACCGGTTTCAGCAGGACTAACTTTTCTTGTAGGCCCCTCACTAAGTTTTAAATAGTTTTTGGGAGAAAAAGTTAGTAGATGTGAGTGGATCACTATCTTTGCTACAATTGTAATAAAAATTACTGTTTGGCTGGTGTGGCTCAGTGGTTGAGCTTTGACCCATGAACCAGGAGGTCATGTTCCTGAACAGGCAGGCACATGCCCAGGTTTCAAGCTTAGTCCCCAGTAGCGGGCATGCAGGGGGCAGCTGACAGATGTCTATCATCATGTATGTGTCTATCTCCCTCTCCCTCTCTCTTCCATCAACAAAGATATCTTTAAAAAAAAAAAAATTGCTCACGTGTGTGAGATGTACCTTTATCTCAATGATAATCTGATCAATGAATGGAGCTGAGTAAAATAAAGTCATAGTATGGCAGTGAGCCACTGTGGCCCAGGCGGGTGTAGCTCAGCGGTTGAGCATCGACCCAGGAACCAAGAGGTCACCGGTTCAATTCCTGGTCAGGGCATATGCCCAGGTTGTGGGCTCGGATCCCCAGTTGGGGGGTAGGGTTGCAGGAGGCAGCCAATTCTCTCTCATCATTAATGTTTCTATCTCTCTCTCCCTCTGGAGAGATAGCATCTGGCTAAATGTTGCACCAGATGCTTCCCAATGTGGAACTTCACTTAACACTCACAACTACTAGGAAAGACCTAAAATCAAAGCAGATGTTATGAAAAACTCAAAAACATAAAGCCTTGCCAAAACCGGTTTGGTTCAGTGGATAGAGCATCGGTTTGCAGACTGAGAGGTCCCAGGTTTAATTCTGGTCAAGGGTATGTACCTTGGTTGTGGGCACATCCCCAGTAGAGGGTGTGCAGGAGGCAGCTGGTCCATGTTTCTCTCTCATCAATGTTTCTAGCTCTCTATCCCTCTCCCTTCCTTTCTGTGGAAAATCAATAAAATATACTAAATAAATAAATAAATAAATAAATAAATAAATATAAACTGACTCTCTCCATTCCACAATTCATCCTTTAAAAAAAAAACACTTAGCCATCAGCTCCAAGAGTAAGTCCTTTCTCTATTGAAATTCAGACCATACCTACTGGGAGCACTAGGACACGTCCTCACCTGTGAGCCTGTGGCACACGCAGACTCTTCCCACACATCCCGAACGTCCTCAGCCTTGGATGCAGAGTGCAGCCTCCAAGACAGTGCTTTCCTGTGGCAAACAAGATCCCGGGCGTCCGCGCCCTGCTGCTGCTGCCGCTGCCGCTGCCGGAGCTCGCCTCTCACCCTCTGCAGAGGCGTAGGGCCCGCGGAGCCGGTCCCGGCATCGCTGCGTCTCTCACCTGCATCATCAAGACACATCCCCAAGGCCTTGGCAGGGAAGCCGTCCGTGACACTCGCCTCCACCTCTGGAGGGCTTGGAGTCGGCAAGGCACACGGGGGCGTGCTTTGGTATTTCAGCCACTTGCTGTGAGCAGTCATTCGCTGGAGAAGTGAGACACCCCCTGGGGGCGCTTCCATGGACACTTGACAGGAAAGGGTTTCACTCTGGTCCTCGGGCCCGGAGCTGGGAGGAAGGACGGCTGGCTCCTCACACAGGCTGAACGGGGGAGATCCAGGAGGCGGCTGCCAGCCCTGGGTGGCACAGGCCCCAGGGTCGCGGTCAGGTGGCCCAGCAGCTGGGGGCACAGTAGCGAGGGCAGCGAGGGCTCCACTGACTAAAGGAAGCCTTGGAAGGTGCTGGTCCTCCAGGGAACGGAATCTTCCCATCCCTGGAAAAAAGCCAATTATTTAGAAGTGTATTAAGTCATTGCTGAGGCTCTAAAAAATTGTGGGTATCTACACAAAACAGCAAAAAATACTTTAACTTGCCTTTTAAAAAATCATTTAATTTTATTTCTTTTTAAAATAAAATTTTAATGGTTTTAGTCTCAAGGAAAGATTTCAAAGATCAATTAAGACTCTGAGCCTGGCAGATATGGCTCAGTGGTTGAGCATGGACCTATGACCCAGGTTCTATTCCCAGTCAGGGACTATGCCTAGGCTGTGAGTTCTAGTCCCGGTGTGGGCGAGCAGGAGGCAGCTGATCTATTTTTCTCTCATCATTGGTGTTTCTGTCCCTCCCTCTCCCTTCTTGTCTGAAATCAATAAAAATATATCTTAAAAACATATTTTAAGAAAAGACTAAAACTTAAGGTTGATGAACTTGAAACTTTTTCTTTTTCCCTTCAGCAAACTATCCCCCCCCCCCCAATTAGTACATTCTATTTACATGGCACTGACTTTTTCAGAGAACTTTCAGTCAAGAGGGGAATCATCACCCATTTCACGGATGAGATAATTGAGGCCCAGAGGTAACAAGACCAACTGGCACTCAGGATGAAAACCCAGACAGACTGTCCTCAACTTTACATTCCTTCTCCAGAGACTGAAGTTTGGGGTTTGTTTATCCTTGTCACTGTAACTTCCTTTACATATTTATTACACTCACTAATTAATATGTTGACCATAGGGGAAAGATTTTTAGCTTTAGTTTGATCTATTGGTATGTGATACGAGTTTTGGCAGATTTTGGCTGAGTGTAATAACAGATAGAGCCCTGAAAAGGTAGAAAGCAGTGATGTAAATAAACGAATGGTGAGAACATACAAGCTTAAGTTTTACCAGATGGCACCGTTTCCTGTTTGATAACAATGTGCCTCCTGGGAGGTTTCTGTTTTTTGGAAATAAACTGGAGTTCACGTGGGAAGCTAGAAAAGCAGTACTCTTTCAATAAGCCATCAAGCAACATGACGGAGAAGATAAAGCCGAGAAATGCAGAGGCTCCTGGTGCAACTATGGAGACACCTGTCACCCTACTGTCACTCACCTGTCTCAGGTGACTCCTCTACCAGCCACACCCACGAAACCTGCTCCAAACACCCAGGCACATTGCAATGCTTTTTCATATCATCCACCCACGACAAAGTCACAGCCCATGCTGCCCGCCTCACCCAGAACTTCAGGACCAGGAAGATGCACGGAGATCACGGGAGAGGACAGGTGGGGGAGGTCCTACGGAAAGCAGGGTTATTGAGAAGCGGGCACCACTCACAGGGAGGTCGGGGTGTGGGAACCAGGCCGGCACACCAGGACAGCAGCAGCTGGAGCGCTGGCTGAGCCTGCCAGGACCCCAGAGCAGAGGGAAGCCCGTCATGCGGGTAACTGATGATGTAGACCAGACACTCCAGCGAAGGGCGGACTCTGGGTTATGCTGGGGTTCTGGGTGCCCAGGAGCTGAGAGGAACCAGCGCCAGAGGAAGGGGAGAGCCACCTGCCACAGGAGAGCCCCGAGGCAGGCAGGCAGGCGGGGACACTTCAGGGCGGCATGGGATCTGGTCCAATGTATTCTTAGCTGGTAACCATCTCTCAAACAGAAAGCTTCCTTTCACGGCAGACAGACATGAGCTTCTGGAACTGTGCAAGCGGAGGAAGGGAAGGCCACCTGGTGAAGGTCTTGCTTGCAGGGGCCCCTCGGGGACTTCTAGCAGGAAGGCGTCATCTTGTGAGCGCAGAGAAAGAGCGGAGGCGGGGCTTGGTGCTGAGCCCTCCTGTGCTGGCCAGGGCACCTGTCCAGAGAGAAACAAGGCTGCAGACCAGAGGCCTGGCTGCATCCCCAGGCTGAGCGAGCCAGGGATCCACACGGTGACACCGCCCCGACCACACCATGCGGATGGAGTGCAGTGGGCAGACTCTCCCGCAGGACAGGGCAGAGAAACTCACCCAAATCAGCCAGACCAGGGCCCAGTGAGAAAGGCCCCAAGGGCTGGGAACTCTGAAACCATGGATCACCAGTTCTGCTCTGAGATATGTGTTATTACACGGTTTTTCTAGAAGCTCTGCATCTACCACAAGAATGGAACATGTTGTATGCAGACCTCAGGCCCGCGGTGGGAAGCAACACAGCACACTTTGCGGTGCCTGGGCCAGCCTGGCTTGCTGGCACCCGCTCCAGCACAGCTGGCTCTCACTGCTCCTGAACATGCATGTGCTGCCGTGGGCGCTGGGCCCTCAGCGGAACCTACAGTGCCAAACTCAGACACTATCTGCAGGAAATCTTCGTTGACTTTTTTATGGTATCCAAACAGGTGACACTGTGATCGCAAAGAGCCCAACTGACCCAAAACCACGAATCTGTAAGAGTGGCTGGTTTGGGCGGAGACAAGCCAGAGGGTGCCAGCTGCACAATTCCACAGGCACACGGGCTATGGTCTCTCCCATGTGCCCTAGAGCAGTGGTCGGCAAACTGCAGGGAGCCGAGGTTTGCCGACCACTGCCTTAGGGAAAAACACTTAAAAAACGTTTTAGCAATGTGCTAATGTCTTTAACCTGAAGTCAAAACGTCTGGGTAAGGGTAATGCCTTAGCAATGGTCAGCAAACTCATCAGTCAACAGAGCGGCAAACTGCCCTAGAGGCGATTTGACCTGATGAGTGATTTGGCATTTCTTCCATTGGCCCCGAGAAAACAGTTCATTTATTTATTTTTAAATATATTTTTATTGATTTCAGAGAAGAAGAGAGAGGAAGAAACATCGATGAGAGGGAATCATGGATTGGCTACCTCCTGCACATCCCCTTCCCCCCAATGTGCCCTGATTGGGAATCGATCGGAGACCTCTTGGTCCATAGGCCAACGTTCAACTACTGAGCCATACCAATCGGGCAGAAGGCCCGTTTCTGAGGATTAGCGCACATTTATTCTTTTCATTTCATTCCTGTCTCCTGTCCAAGTGAAACGATTGTCACTAAGACCATGTACTTAGTACTTACTAATATACTATTTGTTACTTAGAAAACAACACTTGAAAGTGAACTACAGAACATAAAACCTGTTGGGTTTCCTTAAAACATGACAGACTCTGACTTGAACTGACTGGGTCATGGGGTTTGTTCTGAGGATCCATGTCCAGCCTGAGGGGCTTAGGCCGAGACGTCCTGTCCGGAGCAGGAAGACCAAGGACTGAGCAGCTCCCATGATGTCCTCAGGCCTGGAGCTGACCTATCATTGACTTACAACTTCAAGGTACCGCTCCCAAACAAGTGACCTTTTTGGATATGTCCCAGAACTCAATAGTCATCTTCTTTAGGAGTCTTTAATTTTGTTGTCGCTTCCAGAGATCAATCACCTTAAAATCTAACATGGCTGATGTATGGCCCCCAAATTCATGTGGAAGCCAAGTGCATGTGCCTGTATTTGGAAATAGGGTCTGTAAGAGGTAAAAAGCTAAATGAACTCACAGGCTAAGTGAGGGGCCTTGATCGGAGAGAATGAGTGCCTCCTCTATCCCCTCCCCTATTCCCGCTCCCATCCACACACACAAGGAATGGTGGTGTGAGCGCACAGAGTGGGCAGCCACCTACGAGCCAGAAGGACTCAAGAGAAAACCAAATCAGCTAGAACCTGGAGGTTGGACTTCAGCCTCAGAAATGTGAGCAATAAATTTATGTAAAACGCGCGGGCGGTGGCCCTCTGTGCGCAGCCAGAGCTGACCGACATCACTCCCCTTACTCACCTGGGAACCACCTTGGTCCCCACCTTCGGAATCAGGAGTCTCTCTCCCTGTCTTCCCCCCACCCTCCACATCCAATCCAGCAGCGTCCACTTCTCCTCCGAATGATACCTGTGTCCCTGTCAAGTCCTCCGCACGCTTCCTGATACAACCTGCACTTCATGTCACCGTCACCCAGGCTCCCTGTTCCCTTTGCCCCCACATCAGATCCCCCACGGCATGTAAATCAAGTCCCAGGACTTTGTGCTGACGCCCCCCTCAGGGACAACCCCACACTGTTACCCTCACAGGCAGGACTTGGTGTGCCTGGCCCGCTCCTAGTCCCCGTCGCCTCCCCTCTCACTGACCGTCAGCTGGGGGCGCCCACCCACCAGTTCTGCAATCTCAGGGAAGCAGGAGGCCTTGTCCCCCTAGAAGTGAGACAGGAAATCCTGCTTCTGGATCGTGTGACTAACAGAAGATGCCTTGTGGGCATGTGTTCACGACACCACATGGATGTTCGCAGCAGCATGAGCCATCAGAGGCATGGATGAGCTGGGGGCATACAATGGCACACGCACCAGCCCCGGGAACGAGTAACTACACCCACAGGCAATAGCGATGGATTTCAAGACTGCCTGCACTTACATACAACTTTAAAAGCAGAACAGAGAGGGGGCTGCTGGGAGGCTGGTCCTGCCATTTCCTAAGGATGGATTCACTCTGAGATCATTCCTGAGCTGTGTGCTTATTCTGTACGTGTGTAGTGATTAATAAAAAGGGAAATTTAAACATCTTCTTAACAGACACTGCTCAAATACACCTAGGCATGACTTCTAGCTGGTAACAATGCGAGGGACTGGTGTCAAACTTGGGGGGGAAATAGAAGAAAAAAATCTACCAGCTGCTAAACAAATGTAACCTGCCTGTACGCTATTGTCATAAATTCCCAGTCTTCTCTGAAGTGAAAAGTGATCTTTTAAATTCCTAATCCTACAAAAGCAATAAATCTTCCAAATAAAATATGTTTTGCCCTATTTAGTTTGATTTGAGATGTTATGTTTCTTGTCAATTTACTGAATTCCTTTTCAATTTACAACTGTACAAAGATTTAAACATGCTCCCTTTATAAAATTTAGCACTGACATACAGGAAATGATTTTGGGAGATGCAACTAGCATAAAAAGTTTTCTCGTGGGGCGAGAGGGGGAGGGCTAGAGGAAAAAGGAGAGCATATGTAATACTTTCAACAATAAAGATTATAAAATTATAAAAACAAAAACCTTTTTACCTGCAAGAGGTCAACTTGCACACGAGTGCGAGGCAGCTCAGTCGCCCAAGCACAGGTGTCGGCCGTGGAGCTGTTGTGCTCGGGGTGACCGGGGAGCTGGCTACACCCCAGCGGCGGACAGTGCCCTCGGACCATCACAGCACTGGTCGCAGATCCCAGCACTTGATGCCCTTGGAACTCAACCGGCTACAGGGAAGTTAGTAACAATGGGTACATATGTTTCACAATGTTATTATATAGAGAAAACAATACCTAAGTCAGCTTTCTGTTAATATTATTTTTTAAAAATATTTTATTGATTTTTTACAGAGAGGAAGGGAGAGAGAGAGCTAGAAACATCGATGAGAAACATCGACCAGCTGCCTCCTGCACACCCCCTACTGGGGATGTGCCTGCAACCAAGGTACATGCCCTTGACCGGAATAGAACCTGGGACCCTTGTGTCCGTAGTTAGGGCTCTATTAATATTATTAATGTAAATAAGGACGAAGGAACTAATGCTCTTATCCTATGACTTGCTAAAGGTAACTGAAGTGCAATGGGAGAAAAAATTAATATAAGACACTGTCTTATTTTCAGGGAAACGGGGTAGTAAGAAGGCTAATCGCGCCAAAGAAATGTACCTAGACATTTATTCCTGACAAATGAACAAAATGACCATGAGGCAAATGAATATTCTTCTAGTTAAAAATGAATATTCTAAGTCACACATTTGTAAGAAAAACCAAATCTAAAATGTCCCAGGACTTTTGTTGGCAACATTACTCTGAATTTTAAAAATACACATTCCAATGTACAAAGTCTGCTGTGCTGGGCGAAGGCAGTCTCCACAGCACAGAGGCCTTGTTCTCTGTGCCTGCGGCTCCCTCCCCTCCTGGAGTCGCTGGGTGTAGGAGTCGTCAGCTGGAGGCCAGGCGGGGCTGTGGCTCTCCAGCGCCCCAGTGCTGGGCTATGGGCACTTGTGTGGGCGCTTCGGTCATGCTGTGAAGAGCTGTCATTAACTGCACTTCACAGCCCTTCACAGCCTCCTGTTAGGCCACTAGTGACACAGAGGGCTCAAGACCAAACACAGATCAGAACCCTCTCGTTTCTCCTATTCTTAAGCCCAGGGAGGGGTACGCATTCTCTCACCAGCCTCTGCCTGTGAAAACTCTGAAGACTGTGTAAAGAACCGCAGAAAAACACGCTCAGTTAGAAAATCAATGTTCTTCACAGGTTTTACCTGAGGGTCCCAGGTTGTTCTCTCCATCTGTGTAGTAGTAACAGCTGGAAAAATGGTCTCTTCTCCACTTCCCAAGGAAAAGGACTAGAATAAAAGACCAGTATGTTCAAGAGTTTGATGGGAAAATGCTCCAAAACTGGAAGTTAGGTTTGCCCTTTGAAAAACACTTGTCGTTTCTATCTCCCTTCTTTCTCTCTAGACATGTAACAAGCCACCACTGGCAAAGGGTACCTCTAAAGGAGGCACCATGCTAATTAACCTTAAAACACATGGGAAAATCCTGATTCTAAAACTTTAATTGAACCTTTAACACTAGAAAAAATTAATGGGTACAGTATAAATCAGTCGTCAAACCTGAAGCTGATGTTAATGAGAATTATTTAATTCAAAGATTAGTATGAAATTAAAGGAGGAAAAACTGTAAACAGTGTAACAGGTTATTTAAAGAAGGAATCATCTAGCAACCAAAAAACACAAGATATTGACAACATTTTAATTCCAAGACAGCTGTAGTGAGTGTAGTAAGAAAGTAATTACAGAAATAAAGATTAAAATTTTACTTGGAAAGACTGTAAGACCTTCCCCATGACTGTGAGATTACAACAGGTTTCTAAAAAAAGACATGGGGCTAACGTGGCTCAGTGGCTGAGTGTCCAGCAGGCCAGGGTGGGATTCCCAGTGAGGGCACACGCCCAGGTTTCTGGCTCGATCTCCCGTGGGGGGGGAGGAGGCAGACGATTGATGTTTCTCTTCTTTCCTTTCCTTCCTCTTTCAAACCAAATATACGCATAAATGGCAGCCTATTCCGGAGGAAAATACAGCGATGGTGTTTATTTGCAGTTTGTACTTGGTAATAACTGTCCTTGAAAAAGTTAAACATATTTTTTCCAGTGGGAAAAAACCAACAAGAAAGTGATCACTTGTAAGTTATATGATGCAATTGCTGACTGCCAATGATCCTATCAGATACGGTGATAATGCCCAAGTCACCACAGCACGGATTTATTTGTCCTGCTTGGTTTTAGGCAACAGAACTCTGAGTGCAGCTGTAATCGCCAATGACAATGTGTGGATCAGGTGATGCTTGCGTGTTTGCAAAATTAGCTTAATGAAAAAGACTATTTACCTAATCCTATAGACAACATGGGGCACTTACACAAAAGACAGCAGGTTCAGCTAATGAGTATATCTGGTAAATACAAGTAATTTGAAAACTGACAGTGTAAAAAATAACATAAAATTATACGCCACGTCCACATGCACAAATGTAATTTTGGCAACTTTGCGTTTTATAAGTTAACTCGCCTGCAGAGACTGCAGTGGTCCACTTTGGTCAACGTCACTTTCTCTCATCATCATGGAGGCAGAACACTATTATAAGAGAAACCAAAGGCAACAGTAAGTTACAAACAGCACACAAACTTTAGACATAAATGTGAGAACACCACAATAATCAAATGAATAAAAACTAAATTTGATTAAAGACTACTTTCACATTGCAAGAATTTGAAAAGACTTCAACAGTACTGATGACTATGAAGTTAAATATTCATATTGTAAACAAAGATTTTTAGGTTTGACAATTTATCTCAAGAACCTAGGAAAGTTATTCTTAGCCTTTCAGGTTAGTTACACTTCTGGGAATCCAAACTCAGAAAGTAACTTAAATGTAAACAATGATTTGTATGTAAAAACCTTTACTAGCCGAAACTGGTTTGGCTCAGTGGTAGAGCGCACTGAAAGGTCCCGGGTTCGATTCCGGTCAAGGGCATGTACCTTGATTGCGGGCGCATCCCCGGTGGGGGATGTGCAAGAGGCAGCTGGTCGATGTTTCTTTCTCATCGACGTTTCTAGCTCTCTATCTCTCTCCCTTCCTCTCTGTAAAAAAATCAATAAAATATATTAAAGAACAAAACAAAAAACCTTTACTAAAGTAATGCATGTCAAACTCAAAGGCTAACATGAACCAAATAAACAAGATTTAAGTTTGTATGGGCTGCAAAAAAAGCAAAAGCTTCAATTTTCATAGAAACGTAGATTTATTTCTATAGAGACATGCTGAATACAAAGGGCTAAAATAAATGAGTAGTCGTTAACATAAAATAATAGAACATTTTAATAAAAATATTTTTTCTTGAACATTAATTTACCAGATACTGAATAACTGCACAAATTAATAAGTATAACACAAGTAAACCTATTTACTTGTTTCCTGAAAGAAACATATTTCCTGTTGTGCACATCAAACAAGTCAGCATAAGATTAAGGATGTGGCAACTGGCTGCTAAAGTATTCGCTGCTGGTATTAGCGGAGAGAAAAATGGTGTGCCTGTGCATAAGACACATAAGGCAAATGAATGCAACATTATAGTAATCAGTCATTAGTGAATGTTGTAGCTCATTAATAATCCTATATAATGAAAGCCTAATATGCTAAGTGTTTAGTCATCTGTTCAACCAATCAAAGTATAATATGCTAACGATATGCTAAGGTTGCTCAACTGCTTGCTATGACATGCACTGACCACCAGCGGGCACACACTCAGACTGATAGTTTAGCTTGCTGCTGGGGTATGGCTGATTGGGACTGGGTGAGACGGGCCGGACACACCCTAAAGCCCTCCTGCTGGCCAACCCCCACATCTCTCCCTGGCTCCAATTGTGCACCTGTGGGGTTCCTCAGCCTGGCCTGCGCCCTCTCGTAATCCAGGACCCCTGTAGGGGATGTCAGAGAGCCAGTTTCAGCTTAATCCTGCAGGTCAGGCCAAGGGACCCTGCTGGTGCACAAATTTGTACACTGGGCCTCTAGTCCTATATAATAAAAGACTAGTATGCAAATTGACCAAACAGCAGATTGAAAACCAGAGGGTAGACGCTCAATGCAGGAGCTGCCCCCTTGTGGTCAGTGGCCTCCCACAGGGGGAGTGCCACTCAGCAAGAAACCAAGCTCACAGCTGGCAGAGCACAGTGGCAATGGCGAGAGCCTTTCCTGCCTCTGCGGCAGCACTAAGGATGTCCAACTGCTGGCTTAGGCCCACTCTCCAAGTCAGCTGGACATCCCATGAGGGCTTCCAGACTGCAAGAGGGCAGAGGCCGGGCTGAGGGATCCCCAAGTGCACGAATTTCGTGCACTGGGCCTCTTATTTATAACGGGATATTGTAAAAATTAAGTCATAAAACTTTTATTAAAACATTTCTTATATACTGTGATATTGGCTGGGCTGCAAAAATATTCACGGTGGGCCCCATGCGGCCCGTGACCTGTGAGTGTGCCATGCTTGCGATGCATAATCAAAATGTTCAAAAATAGTGATCTGGCCGAAGCCGGTTTGGCCCAGTGGATAGAGCATCGGTCTGCGGACTGAAAGGTCCCAGGTTCGATTCCAGTCAAGGGCATGTACTTTGGTTGCGGACACATCCCCGGTAGGGGATGGGCAAGAGGCAGCTGGTCGATGTTTCTCTTCTCATCGACGTTTCTAGCTCTCTATCTCTCTCCCTTTCTCTCTGTTAAAAATCAATAAAATATATTTTAAAAAAATAGTGATCTTTTTGTCCAAAGCATAGGGTAACCACAGAATGAGATACTAAATAAGTATCTCATTCTGTGAAGGATATTTATGGCTTGGCCAGGTACCTCAGTTTTTTAAAGGATTGTCCCAACATGCCTAGGTTTCAGGTTCAATCTCCAATCAGGACACATATAGGAAGCAACCAGTGAGTAAATGGGTAAGTGGAACAACAAATCATTTCTCTCAAAAATAAATCAATTAAAAATAAAATAAAAATTCTCTTTAAAGGAAGAAAGATATTTTTAATGTTTTTAGTAATGTGAGGAATGACAGGATATAGAACTATATGTACAAATCAATCTGACCATATTTTTTAAATTTCCCAAAAGCTGAAAATGTTAATAATTAACTATGTATTTAAAAAAAGGGAGGGAAATCCAGATGCAAAGAAAAAAGACCAACAACATGAAAACTAGAGTAAAATACAAAACGGGGACAAGTGGAACATTTCGCCTTTTTCTCAATGTCTGCTCAGAAGAGCAGTGCCATGCACTGAAAGAACTGCCCTCCACAGGTTCCGGGCCCACTGAGCGCTGATCTAGATGACTAATTCCAGAGCTTCGATTCATCCTGGCAGAGCAGATACTATTTTACTGCCATGGTTCCCCGAATAGTACTTTGGGCTTCTGCAGATGTTTTACATCTGAGCCAAGTACAGTGTCACCCAACATGTCAGACACTGAGAAAACTAAGTCAAGGTCAGATCTCACGTTATTTCTTTCAATGATAGCACACCCATGTGAAGCTGGGTTTTAGGAAATTGCTATAAGAATCAGTTCCCATGCAGGAATCAATGTGGAGCAAGAAATCTAACCTGGTCCCAGGTTTGAGCAGCTGTGCAGTGCCCAAGTGCACACATACCATTAGAAACCATGTCTATGCAAAAATAAAACACTTATGGTAATCAGTTCACAATGTACACATGTACCACTTTACCTTGCATTCCTCCAACTAATACAATGGTACATGTCAATCATATCTCAATAAAACATGGGGGAAAAATGCCTATTGAGTTATTAGGCAATACAATAAGTGAACTGCTGGATATTTCTTTTGGCCGAGGGATGAAAACATTATTACAACATGAGATACAAGGTGAGATTATGAACCTAGATTAGTTTGGGATCTTTATATATTATAATCTCATTATAACTACAAAACATTCTATATCAAAATAAAAGATGGTGACAGGAAAAGTAACGTACCAGTTGAGACTCCTGGTTCAGACGAGGAAACTGTAGAACGGCTGGCAAAACTGGAATCAATGGCTTCCCAGCTATAATAGACAATGCCCAATGATTTTACTCAACATACATATAGCAGTGCTCTAACATTTTACTTAAAATGTATTTCTAAAACTAAATGAAACAAGGAATAAAATTTAAATTTTAAGATGTGGCAAAGTCTTGATAACTGTTAAAAAAATCTTCAGCCCTAACCGGTTTGGCTCAGTGGATAGAGCGTCAGCCTGTGGACTGAAGGGTCCCAGGTTTGATTCCTGTCAAGAGCATGTACCTTGGTTGCGGGCACATCCCAGGATGGGGTGTGCAGGAGGCAGCTGATCGATGCTTCTCTCATCGATGTTTCTCTCTATACCTCTCCCTTCCTCTCTGTAAAAAAATAAAATCAATGGAATATATTTTTTAAAATAAAATAAAATAAAATAAAAAGGAACTGTATACCCCAATAGTGTTGCTTAGTTGGTTGAATGCTGTCCTGTGCACCATAAGGTTGCCAATTCCATTCCCAGTCAGGGCACAGGTTTTAGGGTTTGATCATGGTCATGGCCATACAGAAAGGCAACCGAGTAATGTTTCTCTCTCCCACTCATATCTCCCTCTCTCCCTCTTTCCCTCTCTCAGCATGTCCTCAGGTGAGGGTTTTACTAGTAAAAAGGCACTGGATAAAAACTGTTTTTCCTTTACCATTTTCACCCAGGGGAAAAATTCTAAATTAGCTTGTTTCAGCTCTTTTACTGTAAACAGTGTCTTTCTCCTGGTCTATTTTCCAATTTTTATCATTGTGCTTTTGGCTGACTTCGCTGTTAATGAATCAACAATTACAGAACTTATTAATGGGCTCATGACAATGTTCTGACCTGAGGTCTGGAGGAATCTAATTCTGTATTTCCCCTGAAAGTTATGGCTCATCGGTCACTAAGTGTGTGCAGTGACTTTATGTAACATAACTACTGCGGGTAAAGAGAATGACTGGGACCCTTCTTTCCACCTTGATGAGGAAGAGATTTCCCAAAATTAAATTCTAAAATTCTTAAATCTTCATAGTAGGAATTTATATCCCTATGGCATTATATAATTATATCTATCCATATTTATTTTCCAGGCTTTTTCCTGATTTTTAATTTTTTAGAAAACAAACTGTAATGATCATCATCAAATTTAACTACATTTTAAAGAAACATTTAGCAGTTATAATAATTTATTCCTATTTTCTCATCAACTTCTTAAACTAGCCCACTAAAAGATCAATTTTAACTTTTCTTTGAGTATCGTAAAGTACACCATTCACATTCAGGTGTACATAATATTTACTGTTTTACCAATGTTCTGTATTATTTCTTTTTAAAAATACTACTGTTGGCAACATACCATAAGCAAAGTAAAAAGACCAATGATATACTAAAAGAAAATATTTACAACATAGGTATATCACAGGTAATGGGCTAATACATGTATAAACCAATAAGAAAAATCACCATTAAAAATCTGACAAGGGGTGTAAGACATGAAAAAAATATATATACAAATGCTGCTTACATATATAAAAAGTGGGTCTATTTCCTTTGTAATAGAAACACAAATGTAAATGCACTGAAATACCACTTTTCATCCATTAGATGGCAAGGCTGTGGAGAAACAGGCACTGCTATACATGCCAAAAGGGAGGACGGGGGCGGGGTGGGTAGAAATGGTGTGATTGTGAAGTATTTATAGACATTTCCACCCAGCAATCCCAACAATATGCAGAAATCCCACATACTTATATGGACACATAAGGTGACTTATTGTCACATGATTTGTGACAGAAAACACCAGAGACTGGCTGCATAAATGATGGCCATCCACACAGAAGCCTCCTCAGAGCTGTAAACAGAACGATGAGGCCTATGGATGGGTGACTCCCAGGAGGCACTGCCAGGTGAGAAGCAAGGTGCTGAGGAACACAGAGCACATGCCTTCCGTAGAACAAGGGACAATAAGATGCTGTGGAGCTGTTTTTTTGCAAAAGGGGGCTCGTTATGACACAGAGGCTACCCACACACACACACACACACACACACACACACACACACACACACACGTTTGCTTACGTGTCTTCAGACATGCGGAGGACCCTTCTGGCGGGAACCGCACTGAGCGGGCTGAGGGAGTGTTCTCCTCTCAGCCTATACTACCCTCCATTGGAATGGTTTCCAAGGACATGTAGTACCTATGTGAATGCAGTGATTCTTTAGTGTAGCCTCCAGAGCCAGGGTTTCCTCACCCTTTAAACTCTAAAGAGAACAATCCAAAGCAGACATGCCATTCTGACCTTCAGGGCTGCTCTCCGGCAGTGTCTCCAGTGTTCCTTGTTTAAAGGCAGAATTTTTCTTTTTCAACACTTCCAAGCCTTCTAAAGCTGTACTGTGTTCAGACAATGACTTTAAAAGGGAAATACTATTTACTAATCCAGAAAGTTCTGAAGAATTCCTAGGAGGATTCCAGTACTGTCTGCTTGCTCCAGCAGTATCTACTTCAACATGGTCAAGGGGTAAACTTGGAATCCCTCCCAAATCTTCAGATTCAGGGTTATGTGTTCCTGGGTCTTTGGAAATAGGATGCTTTGTTCCCAGAGGGTAAAACAAAGAATTGGAAACTTGGGGGTTTGATTTATCAAGAGTAATACATTCGTCAAAGTGACTCTGACTGGCATTTAATCGTGGGCTACTGCCATCACTGCCAGAGGTTGACATTAAAACCTGTTCATCATTTGTATCTAAGTCACATCCCATAAAAAAAGGCTGAGATTGAGTCTGTTCTGAAAATAGGTTGCTTTCAGGAGTTTGATTAGTGTCTATGCTTAAAAAATGAGGACTATATAAATTTGAATTTATACCTTTAAATTTATTCGGGAGTGAAGCAAAATCACAGTGACTTCTGACTTTTTGGATAGGGCTAACAGCTGCATTACCTGAACACACATCATCGGTCCACCCTACCGTGGAGTCACCACACCCAGCCACTTCATCTCCAGTGGGTCCAGCTGCACCACAGGGCTGTGCCGGCAGGGTCGCTGGGGTAGGAAACGGCTCTGCAGGTTTGCCTCCAAGAGGCCAGGGTGCACCGTCATGGTCCTCACAGCGCACACCCTCACATCTCCTCTGATCTCCTGAACTGCAGGCATCGGCCAAGGCCTCCCTTTCCCAATCCTCTGGGTCCTGGGACATTTTGTTGGTTTGTTGGGATTCCTCTTCCGTGTCACTGGTTTCAAAATTGTTCAGATTAAAATTTACCTCCAAAACTGGCTGTGTTACATGACTCCCAGGTGCAGGAATATTGAGACTTTTACTGTCAGTATTAGTCCTAGAAGACGTGTCAGAAACGGCTTCAGAGATCTCAGAGCTGTCACTCAGGGAAGATTCAGGTTGGAGACGTTCGGATTCTGGCAGATGAGACAATGCTTGTTTATACTCCCTTGCTGGCATCCCACATGTATCTATCTCCTGAACATTTTCTCTGGTAAGAAGGAATCTTTTCACGCACTCCTGGTCATTTTGATTAACAGGCATTGGAATATTTCCTTGCATGTCAGATCCTGACACTAAGCCATCCTTTCCCAAATTGCCACAGGTAACAGATGAGCTTTCACTGAATGAGGGAATTTCCAATTTTACTTCCTGATCCCAGGATGAATCAGCGTCATCTATCAGCTTGTCTCCATTAAACTGTTCGACGTTTTCAGCACCTATTTCAAATAACTGGATCCTTTTTTGTCCCAAAAAGTCTCTCAGATTTAAACTGACATCACCTCCCTGAGCCTGGGCCTGCCTTTCTAGCTCATCTCCAGCTACAGCGGAACAAGCAGGTGAAGGCCGTGAGGATAAGCACTCAGCCCAGCGGCTGTCACTGCTCCCAGTGCTTTCTGGTGATGGCTGGCACTGCAAGCTTTCTGTTCTCCCCGCAGCACCCCCTCCCTGTTCCGCGAAGCACTCTGGTTTAGCAGGGACTTGTAAGCTTCCCTGTGGTTGTACTTTAGGGACAAGACCTGACATCTCAGCGTCCACTTCCTCAGACAGACTGGCTGGCTTGGACTTCAGAAGAGCTAGGATCTGTGCTTTGCTCCTGATGTTTTGTGTGACTCCTAAACAGTGAGGTGCCAAGCGATGTCCTTTCGTGGGCTCGTCAGGCAGTAAAGATCCGACGGCCTTGACTGCAGAACTGACAGGAGAGCAAAGATGACCCTCCTCCCTCAGCCTCTCGGAGGAGGGGGCAGAGCCAACGGGAGAAACCGGCGGGCCACGCCTCCCGCTGTCCTTGCGGACGACAAGGCTCCTGAGGTCTGCTGGCACGCTGTGTACTCCTTTCCTGCCAGCAGCAGAAAACAGAGGTGCGCTCGAGAACAGAGAGGGAAGAGCAGGGCCAGGGGCTGCAGCCTCAAGTGACGCGGCTGATTCACCATTATCCGTAGTAACCATTTTCTTTGGCTCTTGTCGTAGACCTTGAAAACCCTAAAAATATTAAAACAGTTATTAGCTATTCTATTGCCTACAAAGAAAACATGCAATGTACCGGCTGGGAAAAAAAAAGAAGAAAAATTAACATGTATGTTTTGTAAGGTAAAGTAATAATATATAAAATTCACAAAGTTGAAATGCAAACTCATTTTTATTAAGATTTTTCCTAATTAGGGTTTACTTTCTACCTCTGCATATACTATAAAGTACCATATTAATGAGACTACAATAACTTCAAAATTCACGATTTCTTGAAATGACTTATGGGTACATACTGATTTGTTATTTTCACAGAGAAACTTACAGTAAACTTTCTTTTCAAACCTGCAGGCTGACACCCGAGGGACCAGCCGCAGGGCATGGACCGCAGCGGACGGGGCCCTCGTGCTTCCTGAATGTCCTCCTGGCTAACAGCTGTGCTCCCAGCAGCTCTCGCCTCCTCCACTGTGATCAAGTATCGCTCACTTTCTAAGTCGTCTCCAGGTTTTACCTAGATGTTAAAGAATAAAAGTCAAAATCGCACACACCTAATTATTTGACGGTCTATGAATTCTTATAAACTTATAGCACTAGTAAGACACAATGGATACTCAATAAAGTTATTGGGTGACTCAATCAATAACAAGTTCTTTACGTATTATTATGTACTAGTTAAGTACCAACATGCACAAAAAGAACAATAATACAGCAAAAGTTTAACTAATTCATTTATTCAACAAACATATGAGGGACCTAGGTGAGGTCCTTTGTTACTCGCTGGGGATTCGGACAGGAGTAAGAAAAATATGCCTCCAAGGATCTCTTTTAGAATCCATACAACTAAATGTAATTTTTAAAAATTGGAGCTATTAAATATCAATTATGTATCTTTAAATATCAAAAGTTAGCCAGCACCGGTTTGGCTCAGTGGATAGAGCGTCGGCTTGCGGACTGAAAGGTCCCGGGTTCAATTCCGGTCAAGGGCATGTACCTTGGTTGCGGGCACATCCCCAGTACAGGGTGTGCAAGAGGCAGGTGGTTGATGACTCTCTCTCATCGATGTTTCTAACTCTCTATCCCTCTCTCTTCCTCTCTGTGAAAAGTCAATAAAATATATTTTTTAAAAAAAAAGTTAAATACTACTATAAATTAGTAGTTGCTTAAACAATTGTATTCCAAAAAAAGCATCTTAATCACCTAAGTATAGCACTTGCCACATCTCTGACTACAGTATAAAAATAATCAACCATCTTGATAAAAATCTGTGTTTTCACAGATAATATGCGTAATTAGTGAAATTATTCTAAATGAAATAATAACAATAGTTACCACCAATGAGTTACCTATTAAAACAGTGCTTTTAGACCCTCTTTAGTTAAATATAAATACCACAAGCACTATTAGTGTCATATAAAATTTAAACGTAGATTGAATACCAAGGCCCGAACCAGCACAATGACAAGATGCGTCTTAGCACTTCAGAGTCATTGCACTAAACAGCTGGGCACCTTACAAGAGCTCTTCCCAGCGCACAGCCCAGCCCAGCCCAGCGCCTGCCCACACCTGTGTGTCACAGCAGAGTCAGGTGCCGGCTGAGCTGCAGGAGTATCTGAAAGTGGGAAATGACCTGGAATGCACAATCTGTTATCCTTACTCATTGCACTAAAAATGCTTTTAGTTGCCCTCCTTTCTCCTCCAACAGGGAAAAACATGGGATCAATGCATGAAACAAGATTTTACATAGGAATAATTCCACAAAACAGTTCCCTCTGTTGTTCTCTGCCTATCAAAACCACATAATAGAGTCTGATTAGAGTCACGCCTGGGCCCATCCCAGCCCCGCCAGGGCCACGCTAATGTGGGCAAGCTACCTAAACTTCAGAGCGGCACTCCTAACCTGCAATCACAGGGCTATATAAACATCAAATCAGACATCTAAAAACTTTTAGCACAGAATCTGGTTAATATTAATAATAAATGCTCAGTAAACACTAGCTATAATTATTAGTATTAGTAACTTGACTATACTTTTTAACATTCATAAAAAAATATTTAAAGAGATACCTTAAAACATAACTTAAAACTAAGTAGACAACCATGGCCAGGCAGCTCAGTTGGTTAGAGCATTATTCTGATACACCAAGGCTTTGGGTTCGATTCCCCGTCAGGGCACATATAAGAATCAACCAAAGAATGCATGAATGGTAGAACAATAGATCAACATTCTCTCTCCCTCTCTCACTCCTTCCTCTCTCTAAAATCAATAAGTAAAAGTTAAGAAAAATAAGACAGACACATTAAAATACCTCAAGACGCCTCAAAAATAAACTCTCCAAGCATTCTCCTTTGTCATCATATAAAATTGCCTATATTAAAACAAAATAAACGTTAAAATGGGGCACAACATAATTCTGCTTTTCATAAACATCTTCAATAGAAAATCTAAGACTGTTCTGTAAGTAAACCATGTAAGGAAAGGATCACCCAGCCAATGTGGCTCAGTGATTGTCAACATGTGACCCAGGAGGTCATGGTTCAATTCCGGGTCAGGACACATGCCCGGGTTGCGGGATCCCACCCTAGTGTGGGGCATGCAGGAAGCAGCAGGAAAGGACCACCCACCTTGTTAGTTGGGTTACACAGTGTGTCTGTCTGAAATGTCCCCTCCTCTGTGAAGAGAGCTTCGAAGGCACACACAAGAAACTAAAAAGTTAGTCCCTACCCAGATCTTGGGGTGGAACTGGGAAGCGCCAGAGGAGGAATGTGAGAAACTGCTGCAGTCCAGGGGAGAGCAGGATGGAGACAAGGGCTTGCAGGAAGTCCCTGTGTGTGAGGTACTCGTAGAACTTGTGCTTGGGGACAAGGAGAAAAGGAAGCCAATGAGATTTCTCCTTGTGTCTCTGTAGCCATTCACAGCAGTTTCTCACTAGCCCTTTAAATATTGCTGTTCCCATCACTTTGGGAGTTTGACAGTTCTTTAAACAATTAAACACAGAGCAATTCCACAGCTGGGTAGGTAGAGAAATGAAAACATGTTTCCAAATAACTTGCACACAGATGTTCACACTAGCATTATTCCTAAAAGCCAAAAAGTGGAAACAACTCAAATGTATGTCATGTGATGAATGGATTAGGAAAATCCATACAACAGAACAGTGTTTCCCAAAGTGTGGTACGCGTACCCCCAGGGGTGCGCTAAGAGTTTGGTGGGGGTATGCGTTGCACCGGAGTTTGGTGGGGATATGCACTGCACTGTGCTTAGCTGCGCCTAATTCTACGTTCTCATGAGTATGAGAGGTACTCGGTGTTACGAAAATTATAGAAGGGGTACACATATGTCAAAAGTTTGGGAAACACTGCAATAGAATATTACTCAGCATTAAAAAGGAATAAAGCATTGATACAGTCAACATGGACGAACACTGAAGCATGACAACAAAAGAAGCTCGAAAGGTCCTCAAGGTCTGTGATTGCAGTCACGTGACAGGCCCAGAACAGGCAAAGCTGCCGGCAGTGAGCAGATCAGTGGTTGGCTAGGCTGGAGTCACATACTGAGTACTGACTACCAATGGGTATGGGATTTCTTTTGCGGGAGTGACAAAAATGCCCTAAAATTATATCGTGATTGCAAAGCTCTCTGAATATATTTAGTCTCATTGAACTGTCTACTCTAAATGGGAATTGAAAAGTGTGTATCCCGGCTGGTATGGCTCAATGGCTGTCAACCTATAAACCAGGAGGTCACAGTTTGATTCCCAGTCAGGACACGTGCCCAGGTTGTGGGGCTTGATCCCCAGAGTGGGGTGTAAAGGAGGCAGCCGATCAATGATTCTCTCTCTCATTCTTCCTATCTCACTCTCTACCTCTCCTTCCTTTCTGAAATCAATAAAAAATCTTTAAAAAGCAAAGTGTGTGAATTGTATGTCAGGGAAGCTATTAAAAAAAAACTGGTGTTTCCAAGGGCTCTCTCCTCTCCCCTTTCCATGCTATCCCCGCCCTGAACATCATCACCCACAAACATCAAATGCTGTCACATTTCTGCTCCATCCTCCCAGGGTCACCACAGCCCCCACAGAATGAGAGCACAAGTCTTCACAATGGCCAGGAAAGCCCCTGGAGTTCCAATCACATGTCCATTCTCCCCTACTCCTGGTGGTTTGCTTAACCCACTGGACATGTGGTCTGTCTCCTCCATGTGACTTCCACGAAGTCAGGGGTTTATCTCTGCTCCCTGCGGCATCCCTCAGAATGGTGTGTAACTCAGAACAGAAGCTCAAAAACTGTTGAACAAATGAACCAATGAATCCACTCCAGGAGCTGCAAGCAGCACCCAAAAGCCACACACTCCTTCAGCTGCCAGGACTCTCCTGAGTCCCAGGTTCCCAGGCCAATTATCTGAATGTTCCATGACCATGAAATTCAGTACGTTCAAAACAGAACTCAACATCTTCTGAGTTCCCTCCAACCTGGCGTTCTTTTTGGAGACACCCTACCTAGTACATTAATCATACAGAAACTGGAAACTAATTTTGGAGTCTCCTTACCTACTGTATCGAGACCTTAAGACTATGATCGTTTCCTAACTTCTTGCTAGTCATCCCCTTCTCACTGTCACCGCTTAGTCAGTCCCCATCACTTTTTGTCTGTATTACTGCTGTCCCTACAACTGTTTCCCAAAGTCCAGTCTGACTTTCATCCTTCGGAACTTAAAAGTTCTGTTTGAACCTGTTGCCAAAATAATTTCCTAAAATAGAACATGGTTGCTGCTCTTCTGCTGTTCTTCCCTGCTCCTCGAGCTGCGCTCTCCGTCCATCATGATGTGGCTGCTGCCACTGCCCAGCAAGGGCCTCACTCCAGCCACAACCTTCGCCTGTAGCCCCCACACTGCCTGCTGGTCTGTACCTCTGTGTTGTAGCTACAGCATCATTTTCAGTCCCTCTTCCCTCAACCTATCAATTTGGTGTACAAGGCAAACCCTTCATCTGGAAAGACTCCTAAACCAGAGTCAGATTTTGATGTTCCTCCTTTGTAATCAGAGCCCTAAACATGTATGTGTGCATGGTATGATCCATATGCTCTTAGATGAAAGTCCCCCAAAGACAAAAACTACAAAACAGTTACCATCCAACGCATGCTTACAACATGCCAGATACTTTGTTTAGGTTTACATGTTTTCTCATTTAACCCTCTGGACAAGTTCACAAGGTATCACTGTCCCCATTTAGAAAGACACTGGAAGCCTGAGAAGCTAAATAACTTGCCAAGATTTCGCACCCACCAGGTGAAGAGCCAGGCCGCCAGCGAGGTCTGCCTGGCATGACAGCTCTTTACGCTGACTCCATGGCTGACCTCACTTTCCCCACCGCCGACCAGCAACATGCTTGCTGGGCGATGATGCCATTAACGGGAGACAGAAAGGTTTGGATAGACAGAGAAAAGGCATTACGACAGCAAGAGAAGCACTGCAAGTAGTGGCTGAGGACAGACTGATGTTAATACCTCTCCTGGGTCAGAGAATCTCTGGTGCTACCTTGAATTTTATCTTATTTTCTTATAACCTACCAGTATGAGGTGCACAATGAACACAATAAACACATGTGACAACTGAAGATAAAGTTAGAGCCAAAACCGGTTTGGCTCAGTGGATAAAGCGTCAGCCTGCGGACTGAAAGGTCCCAGGTTCGATTTTGGTCAAGGGCATGTACCTTGGTTGAGGGCACATCCCCAGTAAGGGGTGTGCAAGAGGTAGCTGATAGATGATTCTCTCTCATCGATGTTTCTAACTCTCTATCCCTCTCTCTTCCTCTCTGTAAAAAAATCAATAAAATATATTATAAAAAAGAGGTGGATACCCCTAGCCTGACCTAGTATGATTTTGTATCACAAGAAGACATGATGGATATTCAGAATCCAATTAGATTTATATAAAAGGCTAAGCTCCAACCAACCTATCGACCGGTACATATGACACGCACTGGCAATTTAAAAAATATACACTGGCTCACGCATGGTGCCAATCACATGTGTATGCTTCAATATGTCATCGTCAATCGTGAATTTGGTTGACACTTCTATTATAGAGAAAGGGCAAATAGCTATATTAAAATATTTCTTCTAATTAATTTCCTTTCAATGTGCATGAATCTGTGCACCAGGCCACTAGTTTTAACATAAGACTAAATCTATAGTATTTTGAAGACTTGATCCTAACCAAAAAGAAACTATTACACAGAAAAACATCAAACAGTGAATGAATGTATTAGTTTAAGATAAATGAATAAAAAAATTTAGGAGGGAGAAGGCTAAACATTCATCTATTTAAATGAGAAAAATTAACCAATGTTACCCCAATAAATTCAATTTAAAAAAGGATAGTAACATTACTTAAATGTGGAGATGTCCAGTATGGGACTGACCCTCTCCACATGGCATGGCCTCCTCGTACAGACTGCTGTTACTGAAACTAAACACAGCTTTGGATTCTGTCTTTGGCTGCTTTGCACTTACTTTGTTTCCTAGGTGAGTGATCTTCAAAATCCCATCTTGCCACACTTTTGACTTCTTAGTCTTCTGATGAGTATACAGTACCTATTTTCAAATACAAAGTGAAGAAATGATTTCTATCCTATTTAATTCCTATGTAATAAAAAGCTAATATGCAAATAGTCATCACGCCCTCACGCCATCACACCATAACGGCTCAGACACTCAACACTGGGGAGAGATGAATGGGAACCAGACAGACACAAATGAGCTCACAATAGAGTAAGGGGGACCAGCCAGGTGGTGGCCTGGGAGAGACAGCTGCCTGCCCCACGGTTCCGGGCACCAACAGCTGCGCCTGCGGACAAGGGAAAGCTGCGCGCCCACGGTCCACTGCGGCTGCAGCCAGCCAGAGGGAGGGAAGCCCGAGTCCCAGGTGTGGGATGAGGCAGAGGTGGTTAGGGGCGATCAAGCCAACAGGGGAGCAGCTAGGGGCAGGCCAGTAGGGGAGCGGAGCGGTTAGGGGCAATCAGGCAGGCAGGCAGGCAGAGATGGTTGGGGATGATCAGGCAAGTGAGCAGTTAGGAGACAGCGATCCCGGATTGTTGAGAGGCAGTCAGATATCCCCCAGGGGGTCCTGGATTGGAGAGGGTATAGGCCAGGCTGAGGGGATCCACCCACCCACCCCTACCCTGTGTATGAATTTCATGCACCGGACCTCTAGTGTATACATATTTAACATTTCATATTTTATACCCTTCTACCAAAAAATATATTTAGGATTTCTTTTACCAATATAAAAGCACAGACAGCATAACAATAACAAAAAATCCAATGAAAAAACAAACTAGGCAGTAAAAGGCAAGTGGGTGGAGAAAGGAGAAGTAAATTCTAAATAAAAACTGAAGGTAACTGGTAACAAAAGTAATTTGGAGCTTCTCAGTCATCAGTGGGAAAGGGAAAATGTGTTGGGTTCACAGCACTCATGGTCTGTGCAGTTCTCCAAGTGCAGTCCAGAGACGGCTGCAGGTCCCCAAAACACCTCACGGGTCTGTGAGGGCAGAACTATTTTCACGAAGCTACTTGCCTTCTCTCTCATTCCTTCAGGGAAGCACGGTGGAATTAAGTGCAGGTTATTTATGTGCAAGAATGTAAGATTCAATTTCAGATTTCATGCAGAAGCAGAGAATTAAATCCAATGTTAAAAAGACATGCAAAAAAACGTACATCGATGCTACTCTTGTCAATGTTTCTTGATTATTGTTTTGAAAATATAGCTATTTTCTTTAAAAAATGTAATTTATGTTAAATCTAATGAGTTTATTATTTTTAGTAAATGAGTACCGTATTTTTTAAACTTTCTGTTATAATTTCTAATATGAAAGACAGTGACATAATCCCTATAATTTGATATAGTCGCCATAATCAAAAGTCCGCAATAATTTTCAAGAGTAGAAAAAAGTCCAAATAATTTGAGACTACTGATGCACATGAGGCATGTCAGTTCGTCAAAAGAAAGATTATTTCCGGTCCCCTGCTTCCTGAGATTTTATTCCAAAGTACTTTGTGTAACAAATGTGAATAGGTGACAAGAGAGAGGGCTGCCAGTTAAAATACAGGGCAACACTTGAGACATACACACTTATACTAAAAACTTTCAGTTTATCTAAAGTCCACATTTAACTGATTGTCCTGCTTTTAGGTTTTTGGTTTTGAAGGGTTTGTTTGTTTGAAAGATTTTTGTGTCTTGTTTTTTTTTTGTTTTGTTTTTTTGTCCATCTGGCAACTCTAGCAACATTTGTAAAATTTGGAAGAAAAAAAAATAGTGGTAAGACTTACAATAAATTCTTGGTTTTCCATAGTTTCTTCTGAAGTTACAAACCAGTCAGGTCCAGAAATAATCAATGGTTATTCAACTATTTATAACACCTAAACTGAAAAATGACAAAGAATATTCAACTCCAACAAAATAAGTATCAAATACAACTTCCTCACAAACTCTTGACCCAAGAGAGAAATCCGAGTTCTAATAACTATCAAGGGAAACAGGTGCAGTCAAATTACCTGCCACTGAGGACGAGTGATACACATCGTGGGAAAGGAATGTGTCGGTCAGAGGAACGAAGTAGAAATGAAGTGCTGAGGAGTCGACACCAGTTCTCCCCAGGGCCTTGGATGTATCAGAGATGATTCCCCTGCCCCACTGGGTTGCTAATAGGAGGAGCTTGGGTGTTAGTTTCTGAATTGCTATGGTCACCACAAGAGGGCCCCCTTGTTTTTTACATGTTTCCTTTTACTTTTTTTTTTTTTTTTTTTTCAAAGAGGAAGGGAGAGAGATAAGAGAGCTAGAAACGTCGATGAGAGAGAAACACCCATCAGCTGCCTCCTGCACACCCCCCACTGGGGATGTGCCCACAACCAATGTGCATGCCCTTGACTGGAATCGAACCTGGGACCCTTCAGTCCGCAGACGCTCTACCACTGAGCCAAACCGGTTTCGGCTCCTTTTACATCTTACAGTCAACATACCAGTACCCAAGATCAGATATATGTAATTCCTCTGCAAGAAAAAGGGTCTTTTCAATGCCAAGGCAATGAGGTCTGTAATTATTCCATGCCACAAAATAAAATTATTATTGTGGGAAAATTTGGAAATCTAAAATCATTGCTGGCAAAGAAGTGAATAGAGAGGATAAAAGAAAATTATTTTTTTTCCCTAAAGCCTTGGTTGCAAAGCCATGACCTCTGGACCGACAGCATCGGCATCAGATGTAAACTAGAAATTCAAATTCTTGAGTTCCACCGACTTACTAAACAGGAAGTGTGGGGTCAGGCCCCCACAATGTCTCAGGTGCTAGTGATGCACGCTTGAGTTTGGGCACCGGTCCTAAAAGCCCTAGGAGGGGTTCCATAAAGCTTCAACCTGCGGTTCCGGGTTCCATTTCTCATTTGCACATGATAACAGATCACCTACACATTACTTACAAATATATTTGGCTGTAATAGGTGCCAGAGTAAAATGAACAAAACACCATTCCTAACCTCAAGAAATCCAGCCAGTGTTGCTCAGTAGTCAGGCCCAGGCCCAGGTTGTGGGCTAGATCCTGTGTGGGGCATGCAGGAGGCAGCCAATGAATAATTTTCTCTCACCATTGATGTTTCTCCCTCCCTGTCTGACATCAATAAAAAACATAAACATTTTTTTTTAATGTGACAGGCAGGCAACCCTCTTGGGTCCTCTGCGCAGGAAGCTTTTCTGTAGTAAAACTGCTTTTGTTTAAAAAAAAAAAAAGGGGGGGGGGGCTGGCTTAGTGGTTAAAGCTCAGCCTGTGGTTCTGGGTTCGAGTCCCGGTCAAGAGCACTTGCTCCACGGCCTCCTTCTCCAGACAGATGCAGGCCTTTCTGAGCTATCAGCCCATATCCTGCATTCTAGGCAGGGCGGTGCAGGACCGTCCCCCAGCCCCCGGCTACCCACACCTACCAGCCAGCGACTTCAAGGCCGCCCCCCGCTAATGGGCTTCCCACGGGTTCGGGAACCCGTTCCCAGAGGACCACGGGAGCGAGGCACCCGGCACGCCCACGAGTGCCCTCAGGACATGGCGGCCTCTGTTCCCGGTCTTCCTCCCCAACCTAGCAACTGCCAGGGCCACGAACCCAATGTCCTGCCCAGAAACCGCATCCCGCGCCAGTGTGGCGCCTGGGTTGAACTTCGACCTATGAACCGCGAGGTCACGGGTGGATTCCGGTCAGGGCACATGCTCGGGTTGCGGGCTCCATCCCCACTGGGGGGCGCGCAGGAGGCAGCCCATCCATGGTCTCTCTCATCACTGATGTTTCTCTCTCTCCCTCTCCCTTCGTCTCTGAAATCAATAAGGAATATTTATTTCAAAAACCCAAAACCTACAATTTTTACAAAAAGCCACATCACAATAAAGAGAAGCCCTATCTCATTGGCCGAGACCCTGTGTAACCGGTGACGCTGAAGACGGACCCTCCCACCTCAGCCATCGGGGGCTGCGACCCGGGACCACCGGCTGCAGGGCGTCCTCACCGGCCGCTCCGGGCGGCTCTCTCGTCCCTTCCCCAGATCAGGAACGCCGCCTCGGCTCCGCGCCCTCAGCCCCGGGAGCCGGGAACCGTCCGCCTTTTCCAAGCCTCACGCAAAACCCGCTTCCAATTCTCCCGCCAAACGTCGTGACGTCGCTACCGGGCCACCAATAGCGCCAGCCCAATGCTCCGCTAGCGCCGCCGACTCCGCCCGCCAGTCAAGCTCCTCATTGGCCGCATGCCCCGAGGCCCCGCCCCGCGGGCCTCACGCCAGAGACGTAGCGACGCACGGCACCTCGGAGCGTCTAGGAGGCGCCCGGAGACCCGTGTCGCGCGTCCTATGACGCTTCACATCCTCGACCGTGAGTTTCGGGAGACGGAAAGGGCTGGAGGACGCAGAGGCTCTGGCCTGTGTTTTGGAGACTGAACGGAGTAAGTTCCGAGGGGACTCGTGCTGCCGAGGGGAGCTGAGGTCCGTGCGCCCTGCCGTCTGTCTCCCTCGTGCCCCGCCCCTTCCCGCCGCCCTCGAGCCCGTCAGTGCGCACGCGCGGAGTCGGCGCGAAGGGACGGCCTCGGTGCAGGGGGGGAGGGGGGACGCGGAAGTTACGTTGCGTCACGGATTTGAGCTTTGGCGCTAGGATTACGGGAAGAAGACCCTTGTCCTCTAACCCAGTCCTTTTTTCCTAGGACGCGGGGCCTGGGGCCTCGCGCACCTGCTTGGGGGCCGAAACGCGCAGCCGCAGCCCGGGGGAGGGTCCAGGCCTTGGAAGTTGAGCCGAGGGTGAGGAGGCGGGTCGCCTGGGCTCGGGGTTCTCGGCCTTTGAGCGCACCATCACCCTTAAAAACCATCCAGGCCATGGATGGGCCTCCCCGGGGAAATGCTTACGGGTCTAAACACTGTGCACACAACTTGTCAGCAAAAATTGTGAGCCTTAGGAATGGCCTGGAGAGGAAGACGCTGGCTGTCTGGTCCAGTGCTCTTCCCAGGCCTGGGTGCCTCGGGCTGCTGCGCTGGGTGACTCGTGGAAGACGGTAGCCGCGAGTGGGCCTTGAGCTCATTCTGCAGTTATTGCCCTGACCAGTTTTGCATCAATTAACGAACTTATTTCCACCTTCAGATACATTGCTTATATTCGTGCGTCTGGTTTTTTAATTTTCCTTTGAACTGGTTTTAACACTTAACTAGTTCCCAAGTTAAATACTTGAAAATCGTGGACATGTGTTCATTTTGTATGTGTACAAGACTAGTGACTACCTTTTCATTAAAATGTATCATGTAAGAAGTTCATGGGATTCCCAAGAATTCCTAAACGCCTCCAATTCCAGCCAGAACATAGACTGAAGGCGTGGGGGCAGGAGCGATAGACGGTCCCCCAGCTCCCTGTGCTGTGCCCTGTCTCAGCCTCCAGCCTCTGTATCAAGAAGTTGAAAGAAAACCGCTTGTGGGATTGTAAGGAGTTAAAAATAATCTGTGTGAACTGATTGGCACTGTCAAGTTTTATTCCTTGTTTAAAGCCTGTATAGAAGCCAGTTAGCTGTCACTGCTTCATTTAACAGTTTTTGGAAAATACGTATTCTGCTATAAGATGGTGTTAAGGAATTTGGAGTGAATGTTTTAACATCCAAGTCACCCAGAGAAGTGCCTTTTAGTTGCACGGCTCCTGGGAAGAACGGACGCCGTTCGGACAGTTTATAAACAGTTCCGTGTTACAGTGAACGTGGTTGTGGAGAACACTGGATGCACATGAGAGCTGTTCCCCGGACGATGCTAGGACATGGGGACAGATTGCTAAACGATAATGGTTCCATGTTACTGAGTGTGTGCTATGTAGCAGCTATTTGAAGTGCTTTATGCACACTTTTTAATATATTTTTATTGATTTCAGAAAGGAAAAGGGGGAGAGAGAAATATCAGTGGTGAGAGGATGATTGATCAGGTGCCTCCTGCATGCCCCACTGGGGATGAGTCCAAAACCCAGGCATGTGCCCTTGACCAGAATTGAACCCGGGATCCTTCATTCCCCAGGCCGATGCTCTGTCCACTGTGCCATACCCGCTAGGGCACATATACATTATTTTGATTAATCTTCATGAAACCCTACTACATAGGTATGGTTTTTATCTACATTTTATACAGCTCATAGAGAGATAGTGAGATAACTTGCTCAGAACCCACATGGCTAGTGAATATTTTGGCTGATTAACTCAGCAGACATGGATCCTCCAGTAAGAAGAACAGGCCTGAATAGGAAAGATGATGATTTGGAATGGGATGGATGTGGCAACACACCCTGTTTCCCCGAAAATAAGACAGTGTCTTATATTAATTTTTGCTCCCAAAGATGCGCTAGGTCTTATTTTCAGGGGATGACTTATCTTTCTATGCACTAGGTCTTATTTTCAGAGGATGTCTTATTTTCGGGGAAACAGTATTTGTTATCCCAGGATGGTGGCAAGTAGGCGTTGAGGATCAAGCAAGTCTGTGTAGCTTCGGGTCTTTCCCAGCTGCTGTGTAGGGATGGTAAATTGTGCTGGGTTGTTGCCTTCTGTTTAATCCATGGCTTCCTCTAAAGTGAAGGCATGTTTGTTTGTCTACAGAGTACAATTGCAGGCATGTATTGTGTACCCAGGTGAGAGTTTCTGACTTGATTCTCCAAGCTCAATATGGATCCTTAGGAGAAGGAATGAAGAAGGTTCTCTGGCTGAGATACCAGGACGGTGGGAAGAGTCTGGTGTCTGGGAGAATTGGACTTTCTGTGCTTGTGCAGATCTGCTGCTGCTTTCTCAGAGGACGGCTTTGGCAGTGGAGGAATTGGAGAGCTGGTGACCTGCCCTTTGTAATTTCTAGTTTGTTCTGGAAGGGAAGTGAGCTCTGGATCCTGCTTAGTAATAAGCATTTAATTAAAATTCATTTCAATTCTACCCCACCTCCTACAAAAAGAATTTGTAATGCTTAACACTTGACAGTTTGTAAAATCCTTTAAAATACATTATTTAATTATTCAACAGACGCATAGGTTATGGCCAAGCTCAAGTCCCTGCGCTGACAGTATTTTCAGTCTGTGGGAGATAGACAGGATCAAAAGTGGTGACAGGGGTTGTGTTAGGGTTAAGGATAGAAGGGAGGGAATATATTCGATTTGGTCAAAGAGAAAGCCTCTGAGCAGGTGACCTTTGCAGGGGCCTGAATGAACCAGGAAGCAATACCTGTGGATGTGCAGGCCTTGAGGTGGGAATGGCCTTCGCCTTTAAGCCCCAGGTCCTGGTTGCCATGAGCCTGGAAGCAATTGTAAGAGATAAAGTTAGACGCCCCAGGGCAGATGGACTGGGGCCTTGTAGGCCTCCGTAAGGGCTGTGGGTTTTATTCTGTGTGATCTGAAGCCGAGGGTTTTGTGCCAGAGGCGGACATGCCCTGCTCTCCATTCTTAGATGCTTGTCCTGGCTGTTGTCCGGTGGAGGAGGCAGAAGCAGGCCTTTGCTTGGGCCCTCTGGGTAGTTGCGGCCGGGCACGTGCTCGCTTGGCCCTCATGGTCCTGTTGCTGAGGAGTTGTCTGTTTGCTGTGAGGAAAGGATTAGGACAATTCAAGGGCTTTGCGCTCTTGCTGTTCTTACTTGGGTTTCTGAGGTGTGGGACACTAGACAAAACCTAGGTTTGTTAACACTTGAGGTTAACTTTCCCATTGTAAACTGGAGATGTAGTTCAGATAAACAAGTAAGACATTGCACAGACAGCTGGGTGTTAGACTGGGGAGCTCGGGAGAAGTGAGGGTTGGGGAATTTAGGTTGTAAACTAATGGTTAGCATAGAGCCAAGCAGCTTAAAGCTGGCACCCTCCAAAGGATTCGTGTGAGTCCGAAGGGAGCCCAACTGAGCCCAGGGGGGCAGGGAGAGGGGCCAGAAAAGGGACCCTCCTCAAGCTGCAGGAGGAAAGCGGCCTCAGGGAATCCACTCCAGCTGCTGAGGGTCAGAGCGGATCTGATGTGTCTCAGGTCACCTGAATGGCCAGGGGAGGCACCAGGGGAGGGATGAGGCTGCAGCTCTAGGACACCTGATTGTTTCTGATGATTAGCTTTGACCTGGAGCGCCATCTGTGTGTGATGTAAATTAATACTTACATGTCTGCATTAAAACTCACACCAGGAAGCCTGTGCTAAGAGTGCGAGTTCTCTCTTGCTCACCTTGGAGAATGAAGGGGCTCTGCCCCGCTGTCCCTGCATCTGCTGCCCTCGAGGACAGGTCCTTGCTGAGACTGAGGTGCAATGGGCCTCTTTACTGAGCTTTGCAGGAGGGCACAGGGAGGCACGTAGAGCAGGGGCCTTCTCCTGCCTCAGGGAGGCCTGCCCGCCCCAGCACTGCCCAGGCCCGCACTGCCCCACATCCACTGCCTCACCTGCCCCTGGCCTGTGGCGTCCACTGATGAAGGCCAAAGTGTTGAGGTCACTCTGGTACCTGAAAGCTTTAGCCCCCCTTTACCTTCCAGTCTGTTATGTCATTCTGGTCATTCATGCCAGCCAAGAGGGGCTAAAGAGACGTGTGTCTTAACTCTCCTGTTTCCAAGAAAAGCATTTTACGTGAGACTGGTTATTCTCAGGCAGGCTGCATCATCCCAGACCCAGGTAAGCCTTTGCTCGTGTGGTCATTTGTGTGTAAGTATCTCTAGTGACTTCCTTAAGAAGACAAAATTCAGTCAACGAACGTTTGAGTGACTCCTATGTGCCAGGGACTGGGGATGGATGCACTGTAACTAATACAAAAAGCACTGATTGCCTCCAGCCCACACTCTAGGGAGGGTACAGAACAAACAAGTAAACTGAGTGGGTGCGATGGGCAAGAAGGGAGGGGAGACAAACTGTCCAGAAATGTGTGGTTTTAAATACAGTTGTGAGGTCTAAAGACCTCACTGGAGAGGCGTTTGAACAAGACTTCAGCAAGGGAGGGAGCAAGCCATGTTGCCTAGGGAGTGTTTCAGATCCAGAATCCAGAGCAGCCAAGGCCTGCAGCTGGAGCCCAGGGGCAGAAGAGATGGGGGGGGAGGGGGCGCACGCGCGGGGAGCGCGCATAGCTTGAAAGGAGGGGTTGGGAATTGGTGCCTAAGAAGTAAACACTGGATAGGATGGTCACCTGAAAAGAGCTGATTCTACAGCTTACCTGTTAACTAAGTGATAAAGATTTTATAGAGAATAATCTAGTGTTGCAGTTTAAAAGGCCTAAAAAGTAAAGCTGATTTAGCAAGGTATTCTAAAGCTTAAAATTTTTAAATGAACTGCCAGCCAATGAAAGTTTATTCAACTGATTAACTTCTTCTACTACCAGACTTACACATTTACTTCTAATTCACAGGAATGGAAACTGAAAGCGGAAAACCAGAAAAGGCGATGGGAGCGGAAAGTGCTGAAAACAAAAAAGAGGTAGAGAAAAAGAAGCGGTCCCGAGTGAAACAGGTGCTCGCAGACATCACCAAGCAGGTTGACTTCTGGTTTGGAGATGCAAATCTTCACAAGGATAGATTTCTTCGAGAACAGATAGAAAAATCTAGAGATGGATGTAAGTTTGCTCAGTCTATAATGGAACCAATTTTCAGCTACACTGCCATTGATTTGCTAACTTGTAATTGGTATACCTGTATAGTGTCTTACACTATTCTTTAGTATTACTGTTTTATGGTGCATATACTATGCTATATACACTATATTATATATATTTTAAACTGTGCACACTAAACTTGATCAAGATGGAGATGGGAAGGTAGAGGGTGCGGACATACATGGACAGTGACTTGATTTGTGGAATTGTGCTCCTATGAAAAGACTTTTTAAAAAACCCAATTAATTCACCCACCCACTAGAGGCCTGTCCCAAGAAAACATTTTACAAATTACAAAATCATAAACTTTTATTAGTTTTAAAAGGAGGCATGTAAGAATTCAAATGGGATAGGGATTTTCAACCATGACTGTAACAGCAACAGTTTGAAATTTCACTTATTCTCACTTTTACATTTTTATTAGATGTTGATATATCACTTCTGGTGTCTTTTAACAAAATGAAAAAATTGACCACTGACAAAAAGTTAATAGCCAGAGCACTGAAGAGTTCAGCTGTTGTAGAGGTAAGAGGTGGTTTTCTATCCCATAAATCCCCGCAGTCACACAAGCTTCAGCCCACTGACTGTGTGCTTTGCAGCTGGACTTGGAAGGCACCAGGATCAGGAGGAAGCAGCCTCTGGGGGAGAGACCCAAGGATGAGGACGAGCGGACTGTGTACGTGGTAAGCCTGTTCTGGAATACAAGTAAGCACACGATGACCGTGAGTACGAAACAGAAGCATTATTAACAATGTAACCAATTTATTGTAGGAGTTACTTCCCAAAAATGTGAATCACAGCTGGATTGAGAGAGTGTTTGGGAAATGTGGCAATGTTGTTTACGTGAGTATCCCGCACTACAAGTCTACGGGGGACCCGAAGGGATTTGCCTTTGTGGAATTTGAGACAAAAGAACAGGCAGCAAAAGCTATTGAGGTAGGTCCAGAACCTAAAAAGAAAAGAATTAGCAAAAGAAAATTATCTCGTGTTTTAATTAGACAAAATTTTTGCTGATTTCATTTCAGTTTCTTAACAACCCACCCGAGGAAGCACCAAGGAAACCTGGGATATTTCCTAAAACAGTGAAAAATAAGCCCATTCCTGCCCTGGGCGCAGCTGGTGAGTGTGTAAGCAAACATACTGTAAGCGGATGCACATGCAGCCAGAGGGAAGCTGATGGCAGCATTGTTACAGAAGAAAAGAAAAAGAGGAAGAAGAAGAAAGGCCGGGCAAAGAAGGAAGACAGCAGCCAGGCCAAGGAGGCACGCGTGGACACAGGCAAGGAGAGCAGCGCCGCGGAGGCGAAGGAGCCCAGGGCCACGTCGGACGGCTCCGAAGGGGAGGGTGCTGAGCCCCAAAAGCCACCCTCAAAGAAGAAGAAGAAGCGGGCCAGAGCTGAGGCGGCCGGCGTGCCTCCAGCGCGAGCAGAGAAGAGGAAGCGAAGCAGTTCGGAGGACGCAGGGTGCCCGGCTCCCAAGTCCAAAGCCCGGAAGACGGCCCAGAAGGATGGCCTGAAGGCCTCGCAGGCGGCCAGAGAACACAGAGGTGCGCTGGCTCTGCTTACCGTGGGGCTCGGCAAATACAGCTGGTTGTGACGCCTGGTTTGTGTTCTCCTTACAGAGGTAGAGGTCTCCACGGAAGAGGAAAAGGAAGCGGGAGACATGAAAGACGGGTCGCTCCTAAAAGCCAAGCGGAAGCACAAGAAGAAGCACAAGGAGCGGCACAAGATGGGGGAGGAGGTGATCCCCCTGCGCGTGCTGTCCAAGTGAGTGGCGGCAGCGCGGCCAGCACCATTGCTAAAGTGCAATTCCAGCTTGTCTACAGAGTTGCATGTTAGCAACAGTCATGGCCTGCGCCCAGGTCTGCGCACGGCGGGACTGATGGGTACCAAGCAACAACCACACTAAAACATGGAAGCACTTACTTCCGTCTGTCAAGCAAATGCCTCCATGTTAAAGGGGTGGGTGTTGTTAGGAGACGAAAGGGTTCCGCTCACATACACCCAACTGCGGGTCAGGCTGTGCGCCTGGGGAAATGCACAGCAAGACTTACCATCACTGAAACATGGAAGCACTTACTTGTTCTATTCCAAAGCAAGTACATCCACGTTTAAGTGGTGGGGAGCCCAGTCCTGGAGAGCCTTGCACGGTGGACCTGGCTTTAACCTGTAAGTAAAGGGCCCCAAACGCTGTGGGTTTGGAGACGCCGCCACTGAAACATGGAAGCACTTACTTTTCCGTGACACAGCAGGTGCCTCCAGGTTAAAGCAGAGGAGTCCCCGTGGCCTCTGGAGACAGACTAGGTTCCTGTGTGGCAGCGGGGGGATCACTGGACTCACTTCTACTAAAACATGGAAGCACTTACTACGCAGGCCACAGAGAGCATTTCCATGTTAAAGTGGAAGGGAGCCCTCGGACGCTGAGTGGGAGCCTAGGAGGACAAAGCAAACGAGCCTAGGAGGACGAAGCAAACGGCATACCTTTGGGAAGAAAGTTGTTCCCGAAGTGCAGTCCTCCTGGGAAAGCTAAGAGGACTTGGGGCTCCTGTATTTATAGGATCCTTAGCTCTGCATTCCTCCTGCCTTTATCTTAGGGAATCATTAAGGGCCTTTTGTTATTCTAATGACTCATCTTGGGAAGGTAGGATCCTGGGTGGGTCGGATTTTTTTTTTTTTTTTTTTTTTTTTTTTGAAGTCTACAGATGCCACTGCTAACAGCTAAACCCATCACCAGCAGATCTCCTCCTCCTCAAACTCTGCTATCTGCGTGTTTGATGGCCTAGATTAGGGCTAACAATAAGCGCTTCCAGGAGCCCAGAGGGCCATTGTGTTCCTCTCGGGAGGAGCTCAAGCTGTTTGGGGAAGCATCCACATGTTAAATGCATGTAAATAGGTTGCTTCCAGGGGGTGTTTTTTTCCCTCTTAGAAATTCCTTTTCATTCTAGTAAATACTAAGGAATGTTATCTCTGAAATTGGGAGCAGTTTAACAAGTAATCCAAGTCTTCTTTAAATTTCAGTCCATCCTTTTCTGCCAGAGACAACTGTTTTAGTAAATGTTACCAGTTAATTAACTCAAAACCTTCATTTCCAAAAGTCAAATCGTTGACGTATACTCAGGAACTCACCTGGCAAATTGAAGCCGGTTCATCTGGGCGCTGCTTGCTGCGTGATGTGAACTCAGAATCATTGTGAGGGGACATCCTTAATCATCTGTTGTTTCTAATGTATTTTTCTTTTATTACAGGAGTGAATGGATGGATTTGAAAAAAGAGTATTTAGCCCTGCAAAAAGCCAGTATGGCTTCTTTAAAAAAAACAATATCCCAAATAAAATCGGAGTCAGAAATGGAAATAGACCATGGAGTAACTAATAAATCTGGACTGAAAAATGAAAAAAGTAAAATTATAGTTTTTTTTACCTTATATTATACACTAAAATACTATTTCAGAGTTATAGAATTAATTTTTAGAAACTTAATTATACAATAATCATTACAGAAATTACTCATTTGGCAAGTTATTCAGATGTGAGACTTATTCTTGATATAAGAACATTTGAAGTGCTCATTTAAACAGTATGTTTTCTAATTAGTTATTTAAATTTTCTCTAGTTCTCATTGTTAGATTTAGTAATGAATGTCTACTTTATGAATTAAGTTTGTAATTTAATTACAAAGATTGTAATTTCACACTTGTAAATTTATTTCATAGTATTAACTACCAGCAGAAATAACACAAAATAAGATTCTTAGGAAATTTATATTGGGATATATGTTAAATTCCTATAATGAAAATTAATTTTCACATCTGAATTATAGAATATTTTATAGCACTTCATGCCTGTTTATCTACTTTCATTAGGTACTTTTTGTTTTTTGGTTCAGGGAAAATGGGCATTTTGGGGGAAAGATGTTACAACTGTTATAAAAGTGACAGTTTGCATTTACAGTAATTACAGTTGTATATTTTGTTTCATGGTAATTTGCTATTAAGCATTGTGATTTTTGACTGGGAGGCCCAATGATCTACAATGTATAACTTCCTTAATTACACAAATTAGGTTACAATTAAGTTTTAAATTAAGTAAATTACTTTTTAAGTAACCTAAGAAACAATGATGTCGGTGTAACCTAAGAAACAATTCTGGTCTTTTTCTGCCCGATGAGCAGCGAGCAGTGAGGAGGGCCGTCCCCCGGAGAAGGCCCAGGCGGCGGGGCCGCAGTTCACGGCGGGCGTGATTGTGAAGATCGTCAGTCCGGAGCCTCTGCCCGGCAGGAAGCTCATCAGGGTGAGCCTGGGGTCCCGGCTGCTTGTACTCTTCTCCTCAGGGACAACGGGTGGCGTTTGGAAAACACAGGCAACCCAGTTAGAGCCTGTTCTTCTGTGGTCAAGTCCTTGCAGAGTTTGATTCCAGAGAGACTGAAATGTGACTGAAGCAGAATCCAAAGACTGAATTCTTGGGGAAGGCAGTGCTGTGCGCACATCCTCCTGCAGGAGGTCTGCAGCGTCTGTCTGTCGGTCCACGGCACCTCTGGCGGGTGGCTGTGGACTGAGAAGCCACTCTGTCCTCCTTAACGGAGACGGGAGGCAGCGGAGCACCTCCCTGGCTCTCCCCGGGCTTCTGTTCTGAGAGCGGGTTTAGGAGAGGAATGCCACGTGCGCTGATTCCCTCAGCACTGGCGGGTCTGAACTTACCCTAAGATCCTAAGCATCTGCTGTCAGGTTTTGGAACAAACTAGAGAATTGGTGATTTGTTTTCATTGGCACTCAGCTTTTAACAGACCCCCTCAATATTCTTTTGCCTGAAGACAAAATTGTTTTGGAAAAAAAGAGATAATATGTATATTTTTTTTTCTTTGCATGAATTTAGTTTATTTTTGTCTTTAATGAATTAAAATAGAACATTTTTTTCTGAGAGAAAAATATAGGGTGTTTTGAAAAAAAGCCTTAATTTTATGTTTAACTTTTTAATATTTTCAATTCATGCCAATTGTTTAAGAAATTTGAAACAATTACAGAAAAGTGTAAAGTATTTTGAAAAACTACAGAAGTTTTGCATGCATGTGCAAATATACTCAGTTCTACGTAATTTACATTGCAAATACTGTTTGACAGTCTCTCCTTATTTCACTTTCTCTGATTTACGAACAACCTTTGTGCACCAGCACAGCAGTATTCTCTCTTGTTCATTGTTCTGTAGGGGGCAGTGCCATATATTATTTACCCTTCGTTAGCCTGCCGCCCAGATAAGTGAGACACTGTCTTCAAACGACGCAGACCTTCTGTGACATAGCCCATGTGTTTACATTTTGACCCTGACTTTCCTCCTCATACCAGTCACATTTCACCGCACCGCCTTTGAGGTTGTTCACTGTGATCAGGTGGAATGCTTTCCTGCAATTCCGCAGCTCACTGACACATAGGTGAGCTCTCCCAGCTGTGGGTGAGGGTGAGGGCCGAGCTCTGGCAGGGAGAACTCCACACTCAGGGATGAGCTTGGAGTGATTGGTGTGGCTGGTTGAGTTGGTTGGTTTTTCTATTAAAATTTAATAGAAAAATTATTTGGTTTGTTATTTGGAATGCATAGCATAAATTTATATCGATTGAAAAATCTGCATTTATGATTATTGAAATCATAAAATAACTATTAATCAAATTCCTAGTTACTTACAGTTTGCTGGAACAAACCTGAACGAGGAGGGTGTTGGTGGAGGTTTATGCTTTCCCAGTACGATTGCCAGGCTAATTGTCATTCTGAGGTCACCCTGACATAATGGTGGCTGTTTAGTAAATGTCTTTTGAAAGGTACGGAAATTAAATACTGTAAACAGCCACATAAGTCAATCACGTGGCTATGCTGCCATTGAAGTGTCAAACTTCTTCAACTTGAAACTGTTTTTCTTGCCTAGTCTCTAAACTTAGTACCGTTAACTAAAGAAATGGGAAGAATGACAAGTATATTGCTTCTCTCTTTAATTGAATTAGCAAACTTTAGGTACCTCTAGTGTAATAGGCAGGATGGTGGGGATGGGATGAGTTAAGACTTAGTTCCTGTTTCTACACACTCACAGGTTTTTACATATGTAAGCTTCATTATTAACTAATAAACTTTTCTCTTATTCTATGATGAAGTAATATTTCCGTGTGTTTCTCAGTTCTGTGTAAATCAGACTTTAAAAATCCAACATCTAAAAGTAACCTGAAATTACTTATGGCTTGAATCTTTGGGTCAAAACTGAAGGGGACGAGATGGATAAGGCCCTGTTTTGGGCTGAGAATCCTTAGTTATTTGTTTAGCTTCAAGAATGGAGACTGATAAATTAAGACCTGGTATAACATTCCTGCATAATTGCCCGTGTTTGCTGAGGGGCCTGCTGTGAATGCAGGAATCTTGTTAATTTGCCCTCCCAGCAGGGGAGGTGGGGAACTTCCCCTGGATTTGGGTGACAGGACTTGTTAGCAGAGGTTGTTTAGGTATTTCATTAAACAGGAAGAGCTTTTGAGCTATATTTTCAAAGACCACTCAGGGACCTAGGATTTGTGTAGGTTCAGTGAAACTTTTTTTTGCATGAGTTGTTATAAGAAGTTGAATGTTTTCATATATGTTTTAGGTCAGAAGTCATAAGTGTACAGGTGATGGGTAACACACCTCTTCCCCAGTCCATGGAGGCTCTTTCTATTTTGTTTTTAATCCCAGCCCTCATTCTGACTGCGCCTGGACGGGAGGCCCCTCTTGTTGATGGGGGGGGGGGGGGTGCGCTCCGGGAGCTGTGAAGGGGGTGGCGGGGGAAGGGGAGATATGATTAGAGCCATGTTGAGTGGGTTCTCAGGTGGGTCCGTGTTAGATTTTAAGAGCATCTGTGTGTATTTCAGAAGAAGTGTTTAATGGAGGGTAGTTCTCATTTAAGCTTCTGATGGCCTAACGTTCTGACATAGCCAGGGGGCGACGTTCTATTCCTATCCCCTCTCTTCTGTGCGGCAGGACACGCTGGCCGCTGTCTCAGAAGTCGTGTATGTGGATTTGCTGGAAGGAGATACCGAGTGCCATGCGAGGTTTAAGTCTCCTGAGGATGCTCAAGCCGCCGTGCAGGCATGTGCGGAAATTCAAAAGAAGCACTGCTGGGAACTCGAGGTTCTCTCCGGTAAAACGTCACGGGCCTGCCTTTTCACCAAGCTGATGGGGGTGACTGATCCTGTCTGAGCGTGGCTGATGAAACTAGTCCCTTCTGTGCTTTCAACACGTATCGAGTTTAAAGCATTAAACTTTAGTTCTGTGGAGAGCGTAGCGCCCTGAGTGGGTTTCTCCTATGTGCCCTTTTATGCAGAGCTCCATGTCCTGTTTTCCAGGTGACCACGAACAGAGGTACTGGCAGAAGATTCTGGTGGACAGGCAGGCCAAACTGAACCAGCCTCGCGAGAAGAAAAGAGGCACTGAGAAGGTAGCTGGTGGATTTTATTTAATAGTTTCGTTATTCTTTGTTTGGTCTCGGGGGCGCTGGGGAGCAGCCCGATCCTTTCCGGAGGCTGACTCGCTTCTGAAAGTCACATGCAGGTGTGAAATAGGATGGTTCTGTAGGAGGGAGCCAGTTACGTGGCGGGCACCGAGCTTTAGGTGGGGAGGGAACACTTATTCTCTAGATGTTGAGATACACAAAATTAGAATTATTTTCCCCACGAGGGTGCATGGTTTTCATTTGGAGTTTTCCCTTTGGCCTTTTTCTTTTTTTAACTTGAGTGCTGACGTAAAGCAGTCCTGCTTTCTGGCCGCTGGGTTTTCAGCTGGGTGGCAGGTGATTCTTGAAACATTCTCTTAAGTTAAAAAACACAATGTCTGTGGAATGTGGTCTGTGAGGACAGGAGCCTCCAGAGATAAGAGTGAGAGCCTCTATCGTGGCGCTCCCTAAAATGTGATAAGCTGTGTTACTTTCTCTGAATAGTCAAGTGATGTAAACAACTTTAAATACGTTAAATAATTTAAAGCAAGCTTCTTATTCATTAATTTTATTTTAAATGACACTGAGTAACTTATTAAACCATTGTTGTTTCTAGTGAGATGTCAAATTTATTATTTTAAACCAAATTATTATACATGTAAAGGATAGTGCACCTTAAAATGCATAAAAGAACAGGGCACATAATAACTAAATTACTATTATCAAAATTTTGAATGTATATTATAAAAATCAGAAAAACCTACAGGGATGTACATTCTTTGGTCATTGACTGGCCCTTAAAAAGTCGTGCTTTCTGTATTCCAGGGGTGATGGCTTGGATTCCTATTTACAAAGTTCTTTTTCCTTAACCTTCCCTCAGCCCAGCCTCGAGGCATCCATTGGAATGTAGATGATGGGGGAGGTGTCCCTGGTCTTTGTGAATCTGTCTCTGAAGGCAGAAGCTGCTGGGGGGGGGGGGGGGTCCTTCCGCCCTGGGCCTGGCTCTGGGAGGTGCCAATTGGAAAGCCTGCTGGAGGCCATTGAAATGTTAAAGTCACTAATCCTGAGCTCGGCCCTGAAATGAAACCACTTTGTTAAATGATATTTATCTTCCAATTGGTGTGTCATTTCATTTAAATTTTATGTTTGTAGAACTAGAATTAGTGGTTTTTCCCCCAGAAAGACCTCATTTTCCTAAGTTTGAGGCGAGGAAAAGGTTCACTCGGGCGTTTTGTGAATGGGCTTGGACCCAGCGAGGGCAGGCGGCTCTTTTCCCACCCCCTGTCTGCTGCCCCTCGGCCCTCCGCTCCAGCCAGTGGCTCTGCCTCAGCGAAACAGCAGCCACAGCAGCCATACAGCCTCGGTCCCGAGGAGCGGCTACACCGGGACTAGTTTGCAGCCACCTTTTTAGTCGTTCATTCTGTTAATGTTTCCCACTGCCCGTCGGACCCAGCACGAGCCGTGTGTAGTGGTGGCGACAGTGCTGTGCGGAGTAGCACTGGGCTGGTCCCGTGTCTCTGCAGCCTCCGCAAAGGGAGCGGGAGGCCGGGGGGGGGGCCAGGGAGCCCGGGGGCCGGGGGGCCCGGGGGCTGGGGGGCCCGGGGGCTGGGGGGCCCGGGGGCCGGGGGGCAGTGCCTCTGGGGAGCTGGAGCAGGCCTCTCAGTCAAGGGAGCTGAGGGTTCCGAGGAGGTTTGCCAGACGGGGAGACAGACCTACTGACTCACAGGGTCTGCAAGGGAGAGAAAAGGGCTACATGAACCCTGGTCTTCATTTTCCCATCGTGGTGCAGCCAGTGGGACCGTGTCCTCGGTCCTGGTGGGCATAGGCAAAGAGAAAAGGAAGCGGCGAAGGCATGTCACTGCTCCACGGGGAGCCCTCGAACAGGAGCCGAGAGCGGGAGGTGGAATGGAGGGCTCTGGCAGGGCAGCGAGAGGCCGGAGAGAGCTGCCACACGGCCTCCGCGGTCCTCCCGACAGGCATGTGGCCATCACTTGGAGCACATGGTACAAAATGAGGTTCCCTCCTTCTCCTTTAGCTTTTGGGATATCTTTTAATATTTTTTAACCTTCATTGTTGAAAGTATTACCTTTGTCCCCCTTTTCCCCCCATTAAGAGGTCTTTGGTTGGTTCCCTCCCACCTGCTCACCCTCCCTCTTTTAATTTTGTGTTGCTTTTTATCAAAATGGTTTTTTTTCCTTCCACACAGCTGAGAGGGAGAAAGAGAGACAAGTATGAGAAAGAAACTTCGATTGGTTGCCCAGCTCTGACCAAGGATCAAACTCGCAGCCTGACTGGGAATTGAATCTGCAACCTTTGGGGGTGTGGGGTGACATTCCAACCAACTGAGCCTCCCAGCCAGGCCTGTGTTTGAGATTTTGGTTTCAAATTTGTAAGCAAACCCTTGAGTGAGCGCTCTGCCGGCAGTACGCCGTCTTGTTCCAGTAGCACATGATTCTCGAGCTCAGAGTCGTGATGACCACAGAGCCTGCAAGGGGTGACTTAGTGGCCAGGACTGACACGGGGGTAGGAAGCAGCCAGTAGGGTGGTCCTGACCTGCAGGTAACAAAAGTGGCAGCCCCCATAGCCACAAGATGGTGGAGCCGAGTCCCCTCAGCCTCACTGCTGCAATATCTAGGCCTGTCAGTCCCACCGGGATTCCTGGGACCAAGCAGAGAGGCTGGATCTGCCCCAGACACTGCAGACAGTGTCAGGACAGCAGGGCTTGGGGGCTTCCTTGGCATGGTGACAGTGGGGAAGGCCCAGGCCCGGCAACAGAGTCCAGACAGCAGGGCTTGGGGGCTTCCCTAGAGTGGCAATGGCGGGGAAGGCCCCAGACATGGCAGACAGAGCCCAGCAGAGGCGGCAGGAACACCCCCAAGCCCGGCAGGCAGAGCCCAGACCACAGGGCTTGGGGGCTCCTTAGTGTCTTGGTGTCAGGGAAGCCCCAGGCCTGGCAGACAGAGCACCCTGCAGGGCACTGGGGCTTCCTTCGCATGGCACATGGCAGCAGGCAGAGAGCAGACAGGAGGGCATGGGCTTCATCTCATGGCTGCAAAAAGCCCCAGGCTCACAGAGAGCAGAGAACCATGGGAGTGGGCTGAGCCATCAGTAGGACAGCCCCTGAGAGCTGGACTGTAGAGGGTGCAGGCTGGGCTGAGGGACCCTGTGCATGAATTTCATGCACCGAGCCTCTAGTTATTCTACAAACCATACCTGATAATTATTTCTGAGATTGATTTGGCCTAAGCCTAATTTTCTCATTTGTCTTCCTCTCGCCCTTTTGGAAATATTTTATTCAAGCTGATGATAGTTGTGAAATTTTTTAGACAATTATATTTTATTTGTTTTTAGGTATCCAATACATTCTAATCTCTCATTTTTTTCTCCATAGTTAATCACCAAAGCTGAAAAGATTAGACTCGAAAAGACTCAACAAGCAAGTAAACATATTAGATTTTCTCAATATAATTGAAAAAACTTTGGTTCACCTCTTAAGATTTCACTGGATGCTGGAGCTGTTGAAGAAATCCATTTTTATTATGCTAGTAATGCCTAATAAACGTTTTTTTAAACTCATATGTACCTAAAATAACTTAAGTTTTTTTTTTTTTAGAGACAAGGACATTATATAGTAGCATTTTTTCATTAAACATTTTATTTGTTGAAATGCTTACATAAATCTCATTGATTTAGTGAGTGCTTTGAACATTATCATTAATTTATTTTATATTACTAAAACAATAATGTGCAGAAAAAATCAGTACTATGTTAAGATATAGTTTAGCCGAAACCGGTTTGGCTCAGTGGATGGAGCGTCAGCCTGTGGACTGAAGGGTCCCAGGTTCGATTCTTATCAAGAGCATGTACCTTGCTTGGTTGCAGGCACATCCCTTGTGGGAGGGGTCCAGGAGGCGGCTGATCAGTGTTTCATCATCAATGTTTCTAGCTCTTTATTCCTCTCCCTTCCTCTCTCTAAAAAATTAATAAAATATATTTAAAAAGAAAAACTGATCCCAAGATTTAAAAAAAGAAAAAAAAAAGATGTAGTTTAGATAAATGTGTAGGCTCTCACTGTTCTTACCATCTTGTAGTTTTTTCCACTTCCAGTGTCCTGTCAGGCTGGTGTGTGCAGACAGATGTGTAATCTTTTTGTTCTGTGCACTGTTCTCTGCCCCTCAGTGTTACCGCTGAGCAGGCCACATGAACTGTTTCCAATTAAAATTTTAAATTTTAAAAGTACTAAGTTTGTATTCCATAAATGAAGACAAAAATAAAATGCTCAAACGCTATTAATTAACGAGTTAACTACCACGCATCCAAAATGGAAACCACCCCCACACACTAAGATATTTTTAATTTAATTGCATCTATACACGCCAATGGCGTTCAAAGGATTGTTAATGGAAAAAAAAACATTGAAACCTGTAAAGAATTTTAGTGAGTTTATCTGAGCCAAACTGTCGACATATGCCAGGAAGCAGAACCTCAGTGGGTTGAGATGATGCTCCAGAGAATGCAGGGTTACATCTATATTTATACATTGCAATCAAATGAAAGAGATGTAGGTGAGTTAATAAAATTTATTGGTGATAGATTAGGGAGGTGGGACAGAGCAAAGCGGGGAAACCTCTGGGTTAGGATAAAAAGTGAAATGATGGGCATGTGCTTCTTTCACAGAGATGGATACAGGATACTCTTAACGTAATTAACAGTTGACAATTAACTTGATAACAATAATAATGAGGGAATGTCTCAGTGCCATTTATTGTGCCCTGAGGGATCCGGGGTAATAAGGAAGTTACAAGTTACCCAGACATCTCACAGATATGTTATCTTAGAGGCAAAAAGGCAAATGGGCTCTGGAAAGAAGATCTAAGTTGATCTTTGTCAGGGAAAATATCGGCCTAGGACATGACTACTCACTATAACCTGTTTGTAGTTAAATATTTAATTTTCAAACCATCTTTTGTGGTTATTTTAGGTCTCTGAGTTTGCAAGACTGCCACGCAGGCCTTCCCTGAGCTTGTCAGGTTAGCATGTGGCTCCTTATGTCCACAGGGTTATAAACACACAGGGGAGAAAATGGAGTAATCCACGTGAGGCCGTCCAGCAATGGCCCTCCATCCGGCTGCCTCTTCCCACCTCACAGGAGCCTGTGGTCAGAGCTCTGAGGGGGCCACCCCTTGTTGGGGTGATACTAGTTTTACTACCACAGAGAGGTGTCCTGATAACTCATCCACTTGCCTCTCCATAAAGGAAAGCCAGCAGACACTGTTGGAGGCAGAGAGACCTGAAGTAGTTATGTTACGCCCAGACTTCATGATCCCCAAGGACCACCAGGGAGCCGAGTCCAATGCAATAAACAAAAGAGCCTTTTCCATGCTAGCATGGGCTCTGTCCCTCTCACGCCGGCAGCATGGCGGAAGAGAGCGAATTTCGCCCAGTCCAGGGGTTTTACTCCGGTCGGTGGTGGTGGTTGTGCCCAAGTGTCATAAACCCCAAAGACTACCAGGGAGCCGAATCCGATGCAATTGCAGAGAGTCTGTATTTATTTCGGACTAGTCCGAGCCCAGTCTCACCTACACCAACGAGGGCATGGGCGAGAAAGAGGAAGAACTTAACATATCAATGGGTTTTATAGGGAGGGTGGTGCTGCTACCTTGGCTGACCTGATTGGTTGGGTTAGGCCTAGGGTCCAGTTACCTGGAGCTGGACCCGCCCCACCATGCCCTCTCACCCCACCTGCCCTCTCGCCCCGCCTGCCCTCTCATTCCCCCCCTTGTCTTGAGACTTAACAGGCCCAATCATGGGACCGTTTGCACTTCTGACGGGTGCATAAAGTTCCTCCTTCCCGGTGCCCTGATCTGACATTTTGGGGGAGTTCACGAGATGTGTCCAGTGGAGACACAAGACTGCACAGCGGGGTCAGGAGTGTCCAGGTCAGAAGTGAGTCTTCCCCCCCCCAACCAGTGTATGGGGGGTAGGGACTCCTGCAGCTGGCCACAAACAAAATTTCATCAGGCAAGTTGAGTACACCGTAACTTGAGCTTGAGGGGGTTGTCTCGGTCTCAGTCGATGCTCCATCCGTTGGCGAAATCTTTTCGGATCGCAGAGGAGTCAGCTGGCCGAACATGGGTGTGGTGGACCCAGGTCGCAATGCCGTTCACTTTGAGGGCGGTGGGCGTTGTCAGCACTACGATGTATGGTTCTTTCCAATGTGGTTCAAGTGTCTCCCGGCGGTGTCAGCCTCGTAGATGGCCTGTAGGCGTGGCCAAATGTTTATAGGGAGGGTGGTGCTGCTACCTTGGCTGACCTGATTGGTTGGATTAGACCTAGGGTCCAGTTACCTGGAGCTAGACCCGCCCCCACCTGCCCTCTCACCCCACCTGCCCTCTCGCCCCGCCTGCCCCCTCACCCCGCCCTGCCCTCTCAGTGGTGTCATGCCTCGGCTAACCCTGATTGGTTGGGTGAGGGCTAGGGTTCAATTACAGAATGGAGGATAACTCCACCCTGCCCTCTCAAATACTGATAGAGCCTCCCTTCCCCCAGCTGGAGGGCGGCGTAGGACATAACCTGCACCTGCAGCCCGAACATTCCTGAGCGCCTAACCAGGCACCTTATATGGACTGTACATTGAACCACCATCAGCACCTGCCAAATACCCTAAGTCCCCGATTCCTAAGTCCCTAGGTCCCTAATCATGTGCCTTATATGAAGCCACCAATCAGCTTGTGCTGAGTATCCTAAGCCCCATCATCCTCTGGGATAGAGTAAAAAGTGAAATGATGGCCATGTGCTGCTTTTACAGAGATGGATACAGGATACTTTAACGTAACTAACATTTGACAATTGACAACAATAACATGTGGCTCTTTGGCCCCTTGAGTGTGGCTCTTCCACAAAATACCACTTCTATTTTGGTATTTTGGACTAGTCTATTTTGAAGAAGTGGCACTAGAAATTTAAATTTAAGAAATTTGGCTCTCAAAAGGAATTTCAATCATCGTACTGTTGATATTTGGCTCTGCTGACTAATGAGTTTGCCGAGCTCATCACTGAGCTGCATAAAGCGTCAGGGTTTAAATCCTCAAACAGCAGCAGTGTTAACAGCTACCATCCAGTGTCTCCCTGAAGCACATGTGCACTGAGCACTGGACTTCAGAGGGTTAGTGAGGATTTCACAAAAGCAACACACGTGGGTAGCAGCACCCCCGACAAGCAGCACGTGACTCCTGGCAGGTGGCTCAGCTGTCGAGAGCATTGTCCCGATGCAACAAGATTGGGGGTTGAGCATTGGCCTGTGAGCCAGGAGGTCTCAGATCAACTCCCAGGTTGAGGCACAAGCCCACATGGCAGGCTCGATCCCCAGTGCGGGGCATACAGAAGGCAGCCCATCGATGATATTCTATGTCATAACTCATCATTGATGTTTCTATTTCTCATTCCTTCCTCTCTGAAGTCAATAAAAATATATTTTAAAAAATAATTAAAAATGAATAAGTAGATAAAAGCATGTGTCCTGTGTGTGCAGCAATAACATTGAATACGTGTTAGAATGACACGGGAAGTTGATCCCAAGGACACGGTTAGTGAAGAGCTGGAGTAAAGGTGGACACTTGCATGTCCTTTTGTCCTGCTTCCATGTTTTCCTGAACGTGCATCTCTGATTTTAAAAACGTGAACAGGCAGGTGAAGAAGCCTTCAAATGCACTCTCTGCCTCTGGCGCCCCGGCAGACCTGGCACTTACATTGCAGTTTTGAACAGTTCTACGCATTCCAGTAGGAACCGGTGACCCACTTAAATGTGTTGGATTAAGCTGTTAAAATTGTTGGTGTGGCTCAGTGGATAGAGCGTCAGCCTGTGGGCTGAAGAATCCTGGGTTCGATTCCAGCCAGGGCACATGTTTCGGACTCCATCCCCAGTGGGGGGCATGCAGGAGGCAGCTGCTCAATGATTCTCATCCTTGATGTTCCTATCTCCCCCTCTCCCGTCTTCTCTGAAATCAATAAAAATACATTTTTAAGAAATAGAATAAAATTGTGGGCTTTGGATCCGGTGGTTTTCACGGTCCTCATGTTAAGCTCCTAGGACGGAGCGAGCGTGTTGGTATGCACCCCTCTTAGGCAGGAAGCCCGCGGCTCCGAGGGGTGATGAACAGAGCAGAGCGGGAAAGGATGTTTGGGAGCTTCCGCCGCTGTTACCGAGGAAACCAACTCTGTCTGCCCTCTCTAGACTTGTTTAAAAAGCCAAAGCGTCTGATAAGAAGTAAGGAAGTAAGTAAATAAAGGAACGAATTTAAATTATCTGAAGTACTGAAAAACACTGAAATTTCTATTTAAAAAATTGTTCCCATTGTTACATTTCTTTACATAACAGGTTTTTAAGGAAAAAATTAGAAAATTCGTAAGGACAAGAAAGAAAAGGAAGGCAGCAAATTTCTACGCATTCCACTATTTCATAACTTCGTTTAT